GGTGAGAATATAGTCTTTTATGAATTATAGATTCCAAGATTTTAGAGATTGAACTTAGAAGAGTAACTGGTCTGTAATTAGTAACTAGTGCTCTGTCTCCCTTTTTAAATATTGGAACTATTGTACCCTCTTTCCAAATGTCAGGAAAAATGTTGTCTTGAAAAATTCTGTTAAATAGTAATGAAAGTGGATCTGCTATAGAATGTGCACATAATTTGAGCATTTTATTGGATATCTCATCAGGACCATGTGCTTTAGTGACATCAATATCATTAATTAGATGTAAAATCTCTTCAGGTGAGGTTGACATCTCAGCTAGGATACTTTGAGTTCTTGGTCTAAAAAAGGGAATATAATTGTCATTGATAATTACAATGTTCTTATTGACAAAATATTTCATAAGTGTTTCGTCATCTCAAGACACTCTTAATGTTCACACAACTACGTGAAGCATTAAGATATCTCAGAAACGTTATACTGGATGAAATTTTGACAATGTCTCATGATATAACATTTACTTAATTATTGTAAAATTATTGGTTAAAATTATTGAGCCACTTGAGTACAATGGTTGCACTGCATGCTTGTTCTGCTTAATCATTGACAAGAAAAAGGAAACAAATGACACAGAATGTAACACATGTATTTCAAATATATATTTAATGTATTTTAAAAATAAGTTAGGTATCTTATAATGTTATTTAAACAATTTTTAATTTACTGATATGATACGGGTATCTTAGGTTTAGTCATCAGTTTACTTGATCATAAACCGGGATTTCACAAAAGACTTCCCAACTTAATTACACGACATTAATGTATCAATTTAAGACAAAGTGAATTCATTTTCATATTTTCATTTAGACTCGCTGAATTTAATCATATAATTATCAAGATGTTTGTTGTAATACTATATTTATCACTGTTCCACAGCTGGATGACTCTAACTGCAGTTAGCTTCATTCAAGATGGTTGCCGAGATTGTTTCGTTTTCGACAAACCTCCGATTTCCGCTAAACTAAATTGAATCTTGATTCCAAAAATGTCGCCACGCAAATTAATAAAACTACGATTGTATTCAACCACAAATGAATGCCAAAACACCCGCAATATTTGAGAATTTTAAAGAAAACGTAAGTGAAGCCATTTTCTTGAAAATTCTCTTATATCGCGGATGTTTGAGCATTCATTTGTGGTTACTTACCATCGTAGCTTTATTAATTTGCACGGCAAAATATTTGGAATCCAGATTCAACTTAGTAAGCTGAAATCGGTGGTTTATCGAAAACGGAAAAGATTCGACAACCATCTTGAATGAACCTAGCTGTAGTTAAAGCCCGGGAGTTAGAGTCATCCAGCTGTGGAACAGTGTTTATTGGGTGACATAAATAGTTATCATAGCGTATACAAAATGTTTTCCATACGATGATAGTAATGTCATCACTGGTAAAGAGAGAATAATTTGTTTTTCTCATCAGAAAGAAAAGCACTCCCATTGAGAATAATGTTGACTTTTTCACAATTTGTTGTCAGTCTAATTAAGGGTTTGTCTAAGCATATTTCATGAAGTGTGTCTAGCAGATCGTTTCGTTGAGCGTAGAGTGATGGACAGCTAAAGGATAAAGTGCATGATTGTTTCCGTTTCCATATTCAGAGGAGAGACTATTTGGAGAGTCGATCATCCTCATGGAAAATAAATGCGAATTCAGTTGCGTGAGCCCTAATCTAAATCGCTCGTTTCAATTCAATTCAATTTTATTTATTATACCATCACCCAAATTAGGGGAATTAGGCAAAAGTACATACAGTAAATAAGTATTTAACAATTAAGTATTTCATAACAAACATATTTACAATTGCTTCCCAGCCTCATTTAGAAACTTACATAATGCTAACAATACTTTACTATCAGATTGTAACAGCTTGGCATATTTAAAAGTACTAATGTTTTTACAAAAATATTGGGGTAAGTATTGTTTTCTAATGCTTTTAACAGACTTACATTCTAATATAAAATGAAATTCATCCCCTAATGAATTGTTATTACATAGTTCACAAAATCTTCTATTTCTTTCTACATTTCTATACCTACCCCTCTCAATAGGTAATTTTGTGTTGGACATTCTGTATTTTGATAAAATGACTCTATATTTTTGAGGCAGTGAAAATAAGTAGTCTTCAAACTTGAATTCTGTTTTAAAAATTCTATAATTAAAACCTATGTTACTATTACTTACATCATTTTCCCATGATTGCCTGAACTGGTCTTCTAGCCTTAATTTCACCATTTTAACAAATTTTGAAAAATGCGAACTACTAGGATTTAACCAAATGTTTGTCATACCAAGATTATCTAATGACTTCTTGACATAATTCAGCCAGTCAGACTTCACAAGATTTTTATCAAAATAACTTCTATATATTTTGTACATCTTTGCTGAGAGCGTTTTTTCATTGTTAGAGCTTAATCTATACCAATATTTTAATATACATAAATCAAATTTTACCCTTAATGGCATTCTCCCTAACTCACCATAAACCATAAAGGTTGGTGTTGATGCTTTGACTTTAAGGATATACTTTAAAAACTTTAATGGTAATTTTTCTATTTTTGTATTGTTGATAAAGCCCCATACCTCAGCCCCATATAACAAAATGGGGGCAACAAGCGTATCAAAAAGATGTAATTGTGTCTTAATTGGTAACGAATATCTATTACCCTGGCTAAGTATAGCAAACATGGCCTTTTCTGCCTGGCTATATACATTTTTAATATTTTGATAGAATCCACCCTTTTGATCAATGATAACTCCAAGATATTTAAAAACAGACACATTTTCCAGTTTAATTCCATCCAAAACTACATTTTGAATACCTTTTCTACCTGTTTTACTATTACTAAAACCATAACCTTGGTTTTATCTAAGTTGATGTGGATTTTCCATTTTTTACAATATCGTGATAATTCAGAAAAGGCCTTTTGCAAATTGGTCATAGAATTAGCAAATATCACAGTATCATCCAAGGGCGTTACAATACCCGGGAATTTATCGGTTCGTGCAGTACTTGTTTGTGATAGCGCCATCTGCAGGTCACTGTGGTTATAGCCTACATAATACGGGGTAGGATATCGGGAATTCGGTGCAGTTTCCATCCGTCGATTACGCTATGAATTGAAGCAAGTGTGACCACTTTATCCACTTAAACAATTTGATAATTGATTAAATCGTTAAACAAAATCGATAAACACGCCATACACTTCCCATCTCCTTAGAAATTAGCATGTATTTATCGGATTGTGTTTTCGGACGATGCTCGACCCAGACCACTAGGGAAATCCTTATGCTAATGAGTATGACGTCATATTTTCCTGGGGAATCCTAGATTTCAAAGCCTCGGTCTTTTATTGTGTCAAATGTAAACGTTCTTTTGCAGACAGAAAATTGACAGATTAGCTTTTAACTTTCAGCTTTGATGTTTTAATATTCTATATTTCTACCGGACTTCTTGCTGAATATCATATAATGTTATAACTTGATTTGGATTTTGGACGATTGCCTGATTGATACTTTCTGAAATTTTGATTGTGATTCACGATTGATTGGCAAGAAAAATAATTCCTATTGTTTTCCAGCGAAGTCTAAATGTTACAGCATAAATTATAATAAGTGGGAAGTAGAATAAAGGATGGGCGGGGCCAGGGGATTGGTGGCCCTACCAGCCCCACCAATTCACACGCATACACATAACTTGAGACAAACACACCCAGGCTCCAGAGGCCGTGATGGAAATATAAAACTATTTAGGGCACAAAATGGTATTTAATAGACCGATATGTAGTGAATCCGCCGTGTATTGAAGGTAAAACAATCTGCATTATTGTTACTTCTATCAATATATGGATTGTGCAATGGAAAAGCAATGGCACAATCAAAAATGTGCATATCAATCGTGAATATCTCTCGGTTCAAAGCTTAATTCCAACAGAATCGTGTCAAAATATGTGTCTGAATAACAGTTATACATTATAAGATCGCAAACTCTTACAAATTATCAGCCGAATGGCTAATTTTCAACGAAATGTCCTTAAGACAACAGCCCTGGGTCGCGCCTATGACGAAAATAAGCTTGAATATCCCTCCCCTAAATAATATTGATAATCACATTTATGCGTGCGCGCGCAGCTCATCCACTGAACGAAACGCCACTTCCCGCTGAAATCACCGGGTATTGATCTTTCCCTTGTATCATCTGCGTATAATAAAACAAGCAACTTTAAAAGTACATTTAGTTGTGCGTCATCCATAAGTGGAATAGGTTCACAACTATTGTCAAGTAATCGCCGCAATAATACAGTTTCTGACGTATTGACGTTTCTAACGTTTGAAAATAATACAAATTATGTTATTCTTCCAACTGAGCTCCATTACAAAAAACTTAATATTCTCAAATTCTACGTGGTGAAAAGATGCATATTGAGTATAAGTTAATGTTATGGTGTTAAAAATATAAAACAAAAAGGAATAAAGAAAAAAATGCCACGGAGAAGCATGCCTCTAAGCAGACCAATGTAACATGCTGAATTGAACCATGCTACATCCCAACCCGAACCGAAGGCAAATATCTAGTAAACTATGCACAAGTGCCGAAGAGTAAGGACCAACAGTTGTTACATAAACCAGCAAGAAAAATAAAACATTTAAGTACACCAATCATATTATTTTTTAGTTAATTAAATGTAACTGTTTGGTTTTGTATTACACATAATCGTATTACCAAAGTCATACATACGATTATAGCATAGTTTGGATAAGTTAAATCCATACGAAAAAGTTAATGACCTCTTTATTGTGGAGTCAGTTGTCAACCCATGAGGAAAACCTATATCATATAATCCATAATTGGATATATTTCGCGTTTGCATTATCCTTTTGGATTATAGACCATTTGTTGTAAATGACAGCTCAAGGCACTTTTTCATTCACTGTATTGGATTAAGCTGGGTTGACTTAATACTATGATAAAGGAACTTATATAATTGAACGAGCTGTTGATAAGCACAGCCATACTGAGTTTTGTTCCACTACTTGATATGCTATATTATATACCAATGGTCGTAGTTGTGTTGACAATTACACAGACTGATGTATAGGATATATGATTATTTATGTAGAATGCATAAAACATAACTTAAACAGGAATCACAATCAGCTTCACGTACAGTGCCTGCAATTGCAACCATAAACGTAACTACTAACGATATGGAGAAAATATAAACTCACGATAAGGGAGTAATCGTATGACACCCTACAACACAAACAGAGGGTCTACTTGGAACAATGTGAACTGACGGTTTAGCAATTAATAACTGCATCCTAGAGATTTGACCAGATCACAAGAACACACACTTCCACCCGACAACTGACTTCGAACCTTACTATAAACTTACCTAATGGCTTAAAATCACGTTCAGAATGGAGGATATTTCTGAAAACAAACTTTGCCATAAACAACGGTAAGTTGTAAATCAAATTGATAAAAATATACACACTCATCAATTCGAAAAAATCCTCATGTGATATATAATTTCTTTCAAATATAGCAGTGACAATTGACGATCCATACTACATTGGCACAAGACCAGTTATAACTAGTATTCTTGTATTTTTCCAGATTAGAAGATTTCCGCAAATATGACAAGAATACAACGGGTGCTATTCTTAAACTGGAGAAAGTGTCTGACCGCCAGAGAACGTTGACATGGTCCAAAGTCTATCTTCGTCTCGGATCGTTCACGCTGTCAGCCGTACGTAGTTGCTTACCTCAAGCCTTTTGCAAATTATGTAACTTTGCATATCTAGATGTTATTTTCTCACTATTACTACAAGGCATTTAATAATATATGAATCTGCAGAATTTTTGAATAAGATAATATATAGGTTTGACAGCTACACACGCATGCAAAAAGTTTACAATTTTCTATTCATTATATATTTATTTAACAAATTGATTTAGTTTTGCAATATTTCGATTTATTCTTTTAATCTTTTTTAAGCAACTGAAAATTGTTCCTATACTTTTGACATCATATACTAAAACAATATAACTATTTGTGTTACCTATATTACATAATGGTCTATTTGTACTATTGTTTTAGTCTATGATGGCATAATCATTGGACCAATCTTCAGGTGCTTGTAAAAAGATTTAATGAATAAAACGAAATATTGCAAAACTGAATCAATTTGTTATTTTAACATAAAAACAACTTCTTTATTATATATTTAATGAATGATTGAATATATCAATTTGAAGGCAGGTTCCATGATGTTATAATTTAAGATAAGTGTTCATTAGCACACACACGTTGCATAACTTTCAAAAACAGCGAATTATCCAACACAAGAGTGAATTTGTGTTTGAGTTGATTTGAAGTTGAGTTGACAAGTTACAGAAAATTGTTCACAGTCTTATGGAAAGAACAATACCCAAACTGTGTGTTTACATTGTACCTTTTGATTTACAGGCGAAGATGAGACCACAAACAGATAAACCAAGAAACGCAACTGGTCATAATGACAATAATACGAATAAACGACCTGAAATAAAAGGTAGCTGTAGCCATCAAGTTAAAGCAAAGTGCGATACTGGTTACACAACAACGTTTAACCATTACAATATCTACAAAGGCAATAATCCAACTGACATGCACATAGACATTGACAGAGGCGAATCTGATGCAGATATCTTAAAAGGAGAAAAATGTACAAACTATGCAAATACAACGGAAAGACTTTCTCAAAGTGCAAGGGAACCTTTAGTTAGGATATACACACCAGCGATACAAGAATCTAGCAATAAACCAGTTATATCAAACTGTTGGACCAAGAGTAGTCGGAAAAATGAAAATATGTATTCAATAAATCATACAAATAAGGGCAACAATGGATATAAAGCAGACATTTCGCATGGCAGTAACAGTTTAAAACGAGCTTCACATAGCAAAAGACTTAATGGAAATGCAATGCATACCGATGGATATGAAGGTTTTTCAGAGTATACTACAAATGGATTGCATTTCCCTAGTATCATCAACCCAACATCATGTGTATGAATTCAATTTCATTTTTACTTATTTACGAATAATTTTAGCTATTTATATAATAGGATTTATTTGAACTGATGCTCTAATAGATCCATACGTACATCCAACAATTAAAAAATACAATAAAAATATTTAAAAGAAAAATAAAGAAAATAAGACTATGTTCTTCAAATTACATATATACTCTTTTTTGAAATAAGAATCCTATCTCTATACCAATCATTAGAATATGTACAACGTCAGCTGTTTCTTTTAATATGATCCCCTCACTCGTCAAAAGAAAAAATGTCTTATAATGATCATTCATGTTGACGAACATTTTGCATACATATTTTAATTGTATATATTAATGAATACAATATAACCCATATATTTATAGGACTTATTTACAGGTAATCGCTTTTCATATAGCTCAGATACCATGCAGAACAATATTCTCAAGCATATTTAATGTATGCTCACAGAATATAAAACTTGAACATGTACAGTGGTATTTAGCCAAAAATAATTAAAATTAAGCAATTCCGTACATTGTTTTAGCATCAACTAATAATTTTCCTTTACCTATATCAACTGTCACTGCTCAGTGTAATTTATCAGTTTATGTACTCCCAACGCATCCAATTGTAAGTTTTTGCTTTTATGGTTAAGAGCCTCCCAATTCGTTAACACTAGGAATCAGACAAAATTGACACGAACTTTTATTGAAAAAGTAACAGATGCTTTAAATTCATTTCATATTCAAAGATCCATTCTTGGATTCATAGTAGGTATCAATTGGCCCATTAGAAGATTTGATTCCAGCATTGTCTGTCTTGCCATGGTGATGATACGCATTGCACAATACAGATGTTTGTCCCCCCGGTTCAATCCTACCGACAGCAAGAGCAACTCCAGGCATTCTGTACGACTTAACAGCACCCAATCCCGGCATCTGGCCTTCTCCGGCTATAGTTTCCAAGAAACCAAACGCTGCACTTATAGGGGAAAACAACTTCTGGTAAAGTGGATCACCCCCACGTGCTATAATGATAGCCTGGAATAATTAAATATTATCAAGTAAAATATTTGAAGCATATGCCGATATGTGAATAGGGTTACACCATTCATTTTATTGAAATATTTATCAAGTTAAAATATGTGTACATTTAAATTGAGTAACATCATTCATTTTATTAATATCATACATTTCTCAAAGTTTATAATTTTTTATGAGATGTAAATAGAATATAGGATTCGATTGTGTGGATTAACTAAAAAAAATTGAAAAAAATAGAAAATAATATATTGAGGAAACGTCTAAAAGTATTACCTTTGGGATAAATATAAGTAATACAGTCAAAATCGTTGTGAAAACTATCAAACACCCAGTGATGATGAACAAAGCATTTGGCTCTCTTGGGATCAGGAACGAAACAATAACTAGTACAATGCTGACCAACGTACTCGTGAACACAGATATGGCAAAACCAGAGAAGTGAAAAAATCCTTTTCTCATAGACATAAACCTGAAATTAGACTTTGATACAGAATATTGTTAAAGTTTTGTCAGAAATTGTTCTATTAAAGTGTATCATGACAGTAAATCAATTTAGTAAATAGTGAGATTAGGCACATACAAGAAAGTACAACTTATAACGTATACTTATACTTGTAAGTAAAGAGACAAGGTGTTTCATAATGTGGGCTATTCGTCAAGAAATATATTCTCGGACTGTATAAATAAAGATCAAAAACATACCATTCGTAGTTTCTTGATTTGTAGCATGTTTAGTTGATCCAAATGTGTTTGTCTCGAATAAAATAGACTTATAGATGGTACATAGCTTATAGACCTGTCTTTTCTCAAATTACGTTTTGGAGATACTCGTTATGAAACACCCTGTTTGTAATTTGTTGACCTATGAATGGGTCGTTCCAGGAATTGCTAAAACCATCTGGTCTGATTGGTGTTTCACACATGTATGTAAAGCTTTACGGAGATCCAACTATATATTCGTCCTTCATACGGATGTATACCCTTTATACCTTCAAAACCTAGATCTGACACGTAAGCAAGCGTTTAGTTATAATGTGCATCATTTACAGGTCCAGATGACATTACATTCAGTCGCTAGTTGATGGAGCTTTACTATATTGGAAATTGTGATGCTCCATTTGGCCCAATTTCAAATTTATTTAATAAACATATTTATGATAGTTCGACAAGACCCTTTAAAGTATACGTATAGGTTGTACTTTCACTTAGGTGCGAAATCTCTACAACCTACCATTTAAAAGTAAACTAAAATATATTAAAGAAATATTTTATTAGCTTCTTATTAATGCTAGATTTATTTACAACGCCTAATTTGTTGTGAATGTTTTTAAAGATTGCAAACATGTATAACTGTTAACTTACAATGCTGGCCATACTATGAATCCACCCAACAACAATACAATTGCTTTGTAGCACAGTATGGCGATCAGAAAGTACGTTTTGTACACCGATTCACATCCAATCATTACCGTTATTGTTCTGACATATGTCTCATCGTCAAGCTGATGAAATATAGTAATTTAAACCAGCTAAGAAATACACGGTGACCATAAAATCTCTCTACATAGTTTTTATGGACACCCAAAGATATATTTTGTACATGTTCGAAGTGATTTTAGCTAGACTCAAATAATATGTTAAAGGGGCTTATCATCAATGAAAGTAGGTATTAGTATCGAATGTTAAACATTCAGAGAGATTATGAACTTTGAAAAAGGTTTGGTTGCAATTCAGGTTAACCATTTGATTTAAAGGTTTAACGACGAAAAGCTCGACGATCATTTCAGGTTAACCATCTTGTGAATCTTGCACAGGTGCTCATACAAGAACCTCTATATATTGTATTGCAAAGAATGTGCAAGATCGTTCATTCTTGATGAGCTTTGATAATTCTTCTTTATCGAGTCGAAGACAAGATAAAGAAATATTATCAAAGCATGCAAGTCAAGAATGGACAATATTGCACAGGTATGGGCACAAGAAAGTTTTTCTCATATGTTTCTGTATGAAGCTATATTTTCACATTTTTATGATAAAATTGAAAAATAGCTTCAAATTAATTGAACTTCACGTTCCAATTGTTGTGACGTCATAGTATTGTAGAACATTCGTACATGGTTACACATGACATGAACGCTCCATTGTAAAGCTCCAAATCTTTATTGTACTCGTACCTGTGCAATATCTTCCATTCTTGACTCGCCTTGACAATGTTTCTTTATCGCGTCTTTAACTCGTTAAAGAAGATTTATCAAAATATATAAGCACAAATGCCAAAGGGAACGGTGACTAAAAACCAACAAGAAAAGCAAACTGTAAGTGTAAATCTGTCCTAAGAAAAGTAGACCCTATATATCCCAAAACCATGGTCTAACGTGAAAAGAAACAATGTCTAACTTCCCCCTCATTAAGATTGGACGATCTTGCAAAGGTACTCATACAAGAACCTCTATTATCTTATATATAGAGAATATATATAGAGAAATTAGAGAAATGTGTACCATCCTTAAATATATAAATGATATGATATTGCAACTGCTAGCGTGTTTCTAAATTTTGTTGATATTTGATTCAATGTAAAAGTTCTACCTACCGAAGATGCCAACTCTATTGTCCTTGCATGCAAAGGATCAACGGTAAACCAAACAGCAATTGTTATAACATCAACAGCAATGAGCAGTGAAAACAAAAAAATCAACCATCCTTCCTTCATTACTTTCTAAAATACATACAAAGGACGATGGGAGATTGTGCAACATATTTTGACAGTTGATTATATTTTTGCGAGTAGTTGCTGGCTGTAAAAAATAAATGCATGCGAAAGTCCAATGTATAATCTTCAAGAAAAGCTCAAAGAATGCTATCAGCATCGATTAGTTTATCTCATAAGTCGTGTTTAATCACCCATCAACGAGCTTTTTTTTTCACCATTCATGCAAAGTTAGAATGTACTTGAACATACGTTTTATCACTTATAATATATAAAGGTTTCAATAAAGGGATTTTAATTTTATTTTTTTGAACCTCTAAAATGTATGATACAAAATGTATATGGAATGTTTTCTGCTTCATTATTCGTATTTTACTACTTGTATTCGTAAATTGAACTTCTGTACTTGTTAAATGCACATTTATGTTCGTAACTTGAGTATTTTCATTCATTGTTTGCCTTTTCTGTTCGTTAATCTATTTTTTTCGTTAAAACGTATATGTATGTGTTTTATACTGAAATACATTTGTTAGTGACACATTGTTTATCCGTATACAAATAAAATGAGTTCATTTTGTACCTTTATCATTGTTTCTGCAAATATATTAATTTGATATGTAAGAACTGAATGTCGAATTTATCAATGAATAAGTACTAGTCTTGGCATTTTTATTTTTTAATTGTCGAATTTATTTTCGTAACAAGGTAATATGTTTTCGTAAAAGTGCACATTTATTGTTCGTAAATATTGTCATTTGTATTCGTAAATTGCACTTTTATATTTGTTTTTCATTGGTTTATTAAGATCACGTGATCATTCTCAACGAGACATGGTCAACCCATGGTCAAAGTCATCGCCCCCTCCCCTACACATGTCATGTCACGTGATCTTTGCCTCGAGACTTGCAGTTTATATTCGTTAATTCACATTTGTATTCGTAAACTCACATTTATATTCGTAAAATGTCATTTTATCATTCGATAATGTACGAATACTCCTTTGCTTTCAGCAATAATTCATGGGTAATATGCAAGGTTATTATTGGTAAAAATACACCTCTTCGATAAAATAACAGGCAATTTTGGGGAAATTTACGAATTGTAAGCTGTAGTTGGCGAATAATAAATTGTTAGTTACAAATATTTCTAGTCCTTACAAACATAAAATGCACCCGAATTTAGTATCTAATTGTTTATTTGATACGTCATATTTGTATTTGTAATTTGGGAATTTTATTTGTAAATGTTACATTGATATTCGTATTAGGGAATTTATTCCAAACGAATAATGAAGCAGTTATGGCGCTATACTATGAAAATGATTTAGTTCCAGAATTGTCGAATATATCGATATATCTACTTCTTAGTCAACAGGTTAATACGTTTGGTGCTCGGAGTGGGTCAATTGTTATTCGCTGAACTTCAATGGTGAAATAGTGAAGTCAATGTTCAAAGTTATATGATGGTTGAAGGAAAAATATAAATAGGCCTAATATCGTTTTAAATTTCAAAATATTTCATATGGCATGGTGCAGGGTACAAAGTTTCAAGAGTTGATCAATGTAGGGTGCAAGGAATGTAAATTGTTCCATAGTACAGGGAGTCTATTGGATAAAAATCTCAAAATGTTGGATGTAATATAACGTTCAAATGAAAACCATTTGTAACTTTTAAACTGTATTTATCATCACATGTCTGAGATCTCTTGGTTTAAAATGAAATATATTAATTCCTATATGACATAAAATATACGTCTATCTTACCTCGAAATGACTTTGGAGATAAACATATGAAACACCCTGCAGAGAGGGTTAACAAAACAGCAAGAAACTACTTGCAAAAAGTTATGAACTGTCAAAAATCTGTTGCACAATCTTCCGTGGCCTTTTGGTTTCTAATTTTGAACATCTTACTATGGAAAAATAACGAGTATGTTATTTACCTTAAAATTGCTTATTGAAACTTACTGTTTTACGTCGGCCGAAAATCATATATACACCCCATAACTTTACAGCTATTCCACCATAAAAGAATGTGAATCCAAATATGAGAAGCCCCGTCGTTGCCTTTAATAATAAAATAGCAGCTAAACTTCTAAGAAAGTCAATATCAGTTGAAACAATATGGTGGCTCTAGACGAGTCTTCCGGATCGTTCTAATTTTAAGAAGGGGAGTTTTGATAATTCCAGTTTATTGAAATCGTCTTGAAGATTAAATAATCAGTTTACAATAATTTTGTAAACATCGGGAGTGTGAATTATCCAAAGGATGCATGCGCATTAGCCTGCCCAAGTCGGTCTCTTTTACTTATCTAGATTTCTATTATGACCGCCTTCTACCAATGATAAAGCCAAGTGCTTTACTGACCTGATGCTTATGTCGGTAAATTTGACCAATTATTATGCACAGTCAAAATAGATACACTTTTCACGAGCAGTTCTTGCACAATTTATTATAAAAATACAAATATTTTACGAGATAAATATCAAAGTTTAGTGAATGCGGGAGCATCGATCGGATACCCGGAGGTGAGAAGATTTTAACAAGAAATGTTGAAAAGTTTACTGAAATGATCAATCATGATAGCTACGATCTAGGCTGAGATTCCGATCAATTAGCGATTCAGATCGACGACTATGGGCTAGGACTTCGTGCATTTTTATCGCGAATTCAGTTTTAAATCAAAATAAAATCGCATGATTTAATTTATGTTAATGCCTACTTACATTCCAAAGTACATTTAATTACAGAATGTATTGTAACGAAATACTCGATCCGACAGCGCAGGAATTATAATCATAATATTAGCGATGATGCCTTAGATTGTACAAAATATACCAACTTGGGCAGGGCTATATGCGCATTAGCCCATTTAAATCCTTATTCTAATCCAAACTACATTGTTTCATCTACAGGATCATTTCATAAGACCATGCTATGTGCTAATACGTGATTGGTAAATCTAGATGTCAATTTGTCCTATTAAACACAAATAGAAGATTTTGAAATTCCACCCATGAAATGAGAAATTGATTTGTCAAAACGAAAATCTCCCTTTAATAAATGTATGAAGATCTTTACTTTACTATTCCTACATAAACAGACAGAGTCGTTTAATGCCTTGGGTCACATTTACTCCGATTTTCAATACGGCGCCCGGCCGATTGATTTTTTGTTCAAAATTGAATACAATATTGAACAAAACACTCGATCGGGTGGTCGTCGGCCGATGGATCGGAGCACATGTGACCAAGGCGTTACCTGACCTGACCTGACTTCAACCTGTGAACAATTTAGTATCATTCCGAGATCGCGCCTTTTATCACTGCTACCCACCTAGTTACACAGACGTATCGTCAGTTTATCATGATTGAACTACTTCCGGGATTTGAATTTGGTAAGATATTTTTATTTCTCGATTTACATCTACTTATAAGTCACGATGTGGATTATAATTTGGCTCTAAGTTATGGGAGATAGTCTAGTTTGAGAATGTGTCGATGGTTTTAGGTTTGGTATGTTAACGAAGACACATTTCACATATTTAGTCCCTCGCTTTTGTTACACTGACGATCGGCATTAATATTGCCAATATTACACTAAATCGGGAAATAAAATAATCTTACCGAAACCTAGTCCCGGAAGTAGTTCCGCCATGATACACTGACGATACGTCTGTGTAACTAGGTGGGTAGCAGTGTTTATACGAAACGGTGAGAAACACCATAAACGAGCGTTCGATTTGCTAAACGACACGCGTCACCCTTTAAGTAGGCATACGTACCTCAAATAATGTACACATTATATACACATACCTTACACAAATCTCCAAGAGACGACTCTGGTTGTACACCAGTATGAATGTCTGCTAAGTGAATTAAGACATAACCATCAAGAAGAATACATCCAACGATGATGATACAGGTCATTATAGGCCATTCGTCTTTAATCATTCTAGAAATAGGTAATCAGTGACATAAGTTGTATATTGTATGATAGATATCCTCTCGAATGTGGGTGAAAGCAAGTCCGTAGTGCCATGCATTCTATAGCTCACTTTATTGAATACTATATTTGTTAAAATGGAGATGAAACGTATACTAACACGTGCTTTCGATGAACAATTGCAAAAACTATGTATGTCATTGCTAATGTTATCCCAATGGCGGCAAATACCGATAGTACGATCAAGGCAGTCTTGTTGATGCGTTTACGTTCGAATTGTTTTGTTTCCTTGTCAGGTGGGGTTGATCCTCCTAAAATATTATTGATAATTAAGACTGAGTTTGAATGTTCGGAAGAGATTTTAAAGGTAAATTAGTAAATGAAAAGTGATCGATACCCTTTGATTTCCATATGACGTCATCTGGCTGAGTTATGACCAGCTTTCTAGTCTTTTTGTCAAAATGGCCAATATTTGACAATCCCCCTAGTGCTGAAAAACAAATATTGATACATCACGTCCATGATCAAATCAAATTACAGCATCAAACAACACGAGGAAATATCACAATGCATTTATTGTCATTTGTTTCAAGCGGCGTGGAAATTAAAAAAATAGCGTGTGAGATTCAACCAAACATCAACAAAGACTTACAATCGAAAAGTCCAATATAACTGTCAAACTGCCTCACACCAGTCCAGTTAGTCGTATATTTATAATAGTATCGGCCCTATATAGCAAACACATACACATGTATTAAAGACTTGTTTGATATAGAACCTGGTACGCCATAAATTAGAGTTGTTTACTTAAAAACGTTTATGCTATAATTTAGTGAGGGCGATGAAGCCATATGGAAAGTAAATTAATCACAGACTAAGAGATGCGACCGTTCACCCCCACGTGTGATATAAATTTATTCATTTAAGGTATTCATTATAAAACTTACCGATATTCCTTGGAATTCTACACGTAGAAGATTCTTAAACAGCGAATCGAGTAATGGCTTCGTTTTGTTATCACTGTGTTTATAATTTTTGACGTTTTCGATTCCGTGTTCCTGAATGGTCGCATTAATCGCCAAAGCTATCGCCCAAACATTGTCGTATATCAATGGCTCATAAAAGCGAAGTCCCATTCTTTCAATTGGCTTAACATTCGATTTCATATCATCATATGTCTAAAAATTGTGTAATACATTAAATAATTACACGAATTTTGCATAAAAATATTGAAACATATATGGCAAACTGTATCAGTAAATACTCAATTTAACTGCAAATAATCATCAGTTGTTTTGTAAGTATCTTTATTCTGATTTCAACAGTTGAACCTTTTGGGAGCCTAATTAGCACAACAAATATATAGTTAATTAGCTCAATTAAAGGATTAGTATTCTTATATTGTATATATATCTCCTTTAATTAGCTATAATGATGAGTGATTAATCATTTTAGATTAATGAAGATGTGTGATGCATCTGTTATTGTATCTCACTTACCCTAGTTTATTTATCTATTTATTTATTTATCTAGTTATTTATTTATTTATTTATTCATTCATTCATTTATTTAATTGTCACCTATCTAAAATAGCCAGCCCTACCTGGGCTTATGAGACACATTTTACATTAGTTACATTTCTTACAATAAAAATATAAAATAAGTGCAATTCAGTTCAACATTATTATTGATTTTGATTTTTGAATAAAACGCTTTTCCTTATACAAAATATTTTTTGCAAATACTTTCCAAGACATTTAATATATCTTTTTATTTAGATATCAATGATGATGTTAGTAAATATCGTTCTATTGGAAAGTCATGTTTAAAAGTTATGTAAGTCCTCAATTTGGGTTGTGATTCAATGAAAAATAGACCGAAGAGCAGGGCTACTAGTTTCGAATACACCCTGCAGGTCTAGGCACAAACATTTTCTGTACCCCGAACGACCGAAACCCTGCTCTGAGGTCTATATTACGATTCGAACATGGAAACTCACCAGAATATTGCAAAATTGTCAATTTCGATGTCCATTTCCAGTTTTTTCATTTCTACTTCCGGTTGAGCGTATGGCTGTTCCAATTTGTTTACCTACCACCTGACCCCGACTTAAGTTTTTTTATTGACATTTGGGCCTATTTTATTGGTTTCACGCATATCTACTACACTGATCGTCGGGATGCTTGAAATTAACGTTTACAAATGCTCCAACAATTTCTCCCTGCTCTTGAGTTTTGCAGACGAGAGGGGGATGCGAAAAGAACGGAACGGTCTAAACTGACCAATGAGTGCAATGAACGAAACACTTAGTACAGAGCCTGGGAATTGATCTCGAATATAACCCAGCTGCAGCATTGACTTTGTTCACAGTTTATAGAAGGCATGAATACAGTCATGTTCGAATGATCATTCATCCCTAACTCATTGAAAATTGATTTTATATCTGAACACCATCCATTAGGTTGATTATAGTCAATATTAAATTTTTTTGGTGAGTCTATTATTTTCCATGAATGTGAATCTATTCCATAAACGTACAATATCTAGTGTTCTAGTGTCTTTCGGAGTAGGCCAGCAAGAATCGCTATATAGAGCAGGAATTAAAGCATATCTATGAACGCCCATAAATGCACGTATGGCACGTTGGTGAATATTGTCACATTTTTGATAAAGTTTCGCTCCCAAAATACCAGCACTATAGTTCTTAATAGGTTATACACATGTGTCATGCAGTTTATGTCTGGAATGATAGTCCTTCATGTGATCTGAATTTAGAAATAAGACCACCAAGTCCCCTGCTTGCTGCTGAGCTCAGATGTTCTGCTGTAAATGTATAGTCTAATGTTTCATTGAAGAAGCAGCCCAGATATTTGTAGCTTGACACAATTCCGATGTCAGAATCATTGAAGACAAAATTATTGTTCGTTTTAGGCATGGTTTTCCTTCTGAAATGTACAATTTTAGTTTTCCCATATTAATAGACATTCTCCACTGATTGCACCACGTTTTATCGATATCGAGCAGCTTTTGAACATCGCTTTCACAAATCAGGGCAATGTCATCTGCGTATAATAAAACGTTTATAAGTTCATCACCATATTTGGCGACAATATGACTAGAGGTAATTGTCTTTGCCAAGTAATTTAGGAAGATATTACACAAACAAGAAGAAAGCTTATCTCCTTGTTTTAATCCAGCTGTAGAGGGGAACCAGTTTGTTGTTTTACCATTGAGATTTACAATGTTAGTTTTACTATACAGGATGGTCCAAAAAAATGGGACACTCGTATTTCAAAAATAGATATTGATTTTCTTGATGAAAACATGTCAAATTATATACCAATGGATAGGGAATTCATTCATCTTCAATTTGGTATATCATAAGTTCAAATGTATTATAATGTCTGTCAACCAGCGTCCATAATATAAATGATGTCATTTTCATTTCAAAACGGGTTTTCCAAAACTTGCAAAAACGAATATTTATTGACAACTTTATTTACATAAAAAGACGTTCAATATGTCCACCATTTTGATCAATTGTAGCCCTAAATGTTGGCCTAAGCTGGTCAATAGCATCATTGATATACTGTTGAGACAATGAATTTCACTTCTCAGCAATTCAATCCTTAGTAAGGGCCTGAGTAGATGTAAGGGGTTCATGATAAACAAATCCTGTTAGTTCTCCTTAATATGTAGATTGTATTAATTTATCATTTACACAGGCTACTAATTCTGTTTTAACTGACTCAATCAGTTCATGTTTTATACTTTTAAGTTAGTCGTTTTTTAGATCTGGGAGAAAGTCAGCAATGGGGCTGGAGTCTGGATTTGAGAAATTAAGGGTATTTGGGAGTAGGGAATGTGTAGCATCAGGAGTGTTAATGTCAGGACTTTTGCAGGATGTTTGATTATCCTTCAATTGGTCGTTGTAATCAGTTGAGATTCCTGGTGTTGTAAGGCTTTCGGATATACGATGATGCTTGGCTGCAGGAGTAGATGTGGTACTTTCGTCATCCCAAGATAATGGAGTTAATGACCAAGTTTTCTTCCAGCTTTTCAGCTTAGAGCGCTTACGTTTGCTACCATTAATTTACCTCTGCTCATGGTTGGAACGTGTACGCCTGTGCATTACACACCTGATAATGTGTTTGTATACGTAGCTTGAGTCAATCATAGGCTTACTGTAAGGTTGTCCTTTATATGCTAGTATTTAGTTACTAACATGGGCTAATTAATCCATGTGCTTGTTAGTATAATCGTTATTTGTTCTTATATTTTACAATATGTCCTGAGAAATGTGTACTAAATTCTCTTTAATTATTCAGAGTTTTTTCCTCGAACTTCGTGTTTGTGACCTCTGTATATTCATGTAGATCTCTGTCGAATAACATGTATCAACTCTTTCCAATTATTGTGTTTTATCCATTTTTTGGGAGCAAACTATAGCACAGACAATTTCACTTGATTTCCTTTTCTTAACTCTTATAACACTGAAAACAGCTTAAGTGTGAAACAAATTTTGTTAAAAATTCAAAAAAGCATTAAAATGATTTTTTCAAATAGACATGTAGTAGGTATCTATATACATTTATACACACGTTACCCAAAGCATTGAAGTAAACTCCACGGAACATAAGGTGGAATTTCAAATTAAAATTAGGGCCGTCTCAAACGTGACGATTTTCACAGTTTCAGTCCGTGATTAATATGCCAAGATATTCACATTAGAATGCAACATTTTCAAAAAACCAAGGACTTTCCTCATACTACTCTCCTGTCCTTTAAAATCATAAATGAATTTGGACTTCAAGTATTTTCCTTTTGATGTGCATCACTTGTCAACATGAAACATCCGAATCCATCATTTTTCTCGATTTTTTCATACGTTGTGTTTTTAATTTGAGTAAAATTGAAAGGGGTCGATCCTATTTGAACATGAATCGATTCGGTCATGAAAAATGATGCTTTAGACGTATAGAAAATGACAAAAAAATTATTTTGGGAGCAATGATCATTTGGCTGGTTCACCATTTTTCCGCGTGTCGTTTTTCACAAGAAAATTGAAAACAAGTGACAATGAGTTATATGTTCACTTAGGAGAAGTCGTATTTAAAGAATGGTCATTTTTGATGACTATAGCTAGGTGAATTGAGAAACAAGTTTGTATTTTTGTCTTATATTATCACCTTTATGTTTAATTTTCCGTCAAAACTCGACATAAAGCATGAATAGTAGAATCGTGCCGTGTTTCACCTTCTCCAAGGAAAAAGCAGTTACGTACATGTTACATATGTGAACTCATGCAATCATAGTTTATATGTACTGAACACTTCTTTTTTATTTTCAATAACTATGTGCACACCACATTAAGCTATTTATCTTTTTAAATCAACTTCACCAAAACTTTTCACTGATTCAAAAAACCAGCGCTTTTACACTTTACATCGATATGGTGCAAATGCCATGTCGTCAAGCACCTAATCACCCTAGTTCCCTTTTAATCTCTTTTAGTGTATGAGGTAAGACACTTTGATTTGTTTTTTTACAATTTGAGAAACTTTTACTATGGGTGTTTACTTTTTAGACCAACTGCAGGGTGACGTAGTGAAGTCTTTCCTGCATGCACCACAAACAGCAGGGCAACCATGTACATGTTCATACCAAATGACATTAAAGGCATTCAATCATGCATCAGAAAAGTCCCTTTTAAAGATTTCAAATTTAAAGAGAAACTTTTTCATTTAAAATTAATGGTAACTCTACTTGATTGTACGTTATCATTAGAGGTCGCAACGGTACTGAAAACCAGTACCGGTAACCGTCACGCTAATAACCGTACCGTTACCGAAATACCGGTAAAGATATGTAAGATAAAATGCCAATGCGCTGCCACCCCCACTTTGTTCCTAACTCTCTCCGTAGCTTCTCAAGTCTATATGCATACATAGTGCGAGACCGATTTGAACCCATACTGATGAACTTCACGAAATAGTATGTAACTACCTTACGAATCAAGATGTATATTTAGTTTTATGTTAAATGTTTTACACATTTCAAACCATTTCTCAACTGTATCGATAGCAAGCGACGTGCAGTATACATGGGGGTGGGGTAGGTAAAATAGATTCAGTGCAGCTGGCAACACCATCACTTCCAAACGGGCACGACTTCAACCTGAGGTTGTCAATGCCTTGTTGTTTGTAGAGGAGAGGTATCGATATGGAGAACTGAATTCAACAATGTTTTTCTCTTAAACCAATCATTGAAAACATTCTGTAAAAAACACGGCATTTTTTGTAATGTTGACTGATTGACTACAATTTAATGCGAAAATTATTTAGAAATATTTTATATAACTGTTTTTGTTAACATTTTTTGTTTTTTTAGTGCAGTTTTTTGCTCTGACCACCAAAAGACAATTTTTCTATTGACGAGTGACGGGATCATATTGAAAGAATCTGCTGACATGATAAAGTATCTAATGATTGGTAGAGACAGGATTCTTATATCAAAGTAACATTTTATATGTCATTTGAAGAATGTAATCCTATGTTCTATACTTTATTGCTTTATTTACTGTTATTGAAAATTGTATATCGGATGTACGTTTGACCCTAAAAGGGCATCAGTACTAATAAAATCCTATTATATAGATACAAAGCAGGGGCGGATCTGGGAACCAACAAGGGGGGGGGGGCCCAAATTTTAGGTCAGAGAAAAAAATTTTGGGCCCCTAAAACCCAAAAGTGGGCCCAAATTTTGAAATTTTGAGGCCCATTTTCTTCAAAATTTGGCCTGAAATTAAAAAATGAGGCCTTAAAAGGCCCAGTAATGACCAAAAGGCCCACTTTTAGGGGCATGAAGGCCTTTTTTGGCCCAAAATTTTTTTGGGCCCAATTTTTTTTTCTGGGCCCACCCGAGGGGGGGGGGGGGCGGGCCCCAAGCCCCCCCCCCTAATCCGCCAGTGCAAAGGAATTTTTAAAGTATTCAAAAAATTAAAACAAAATCCCCCCAAAATAGATAAAAATCAAGATAAACCTTTTATTTTATTCATTAACAATATACTTTTTTTAAATCAACCAAAATTTCCTTTGTACAATTACAATATTAATACATGTTATGTTTATGTCGTTTTGTTCCAATGAGGTTCGGAAATATGTTTCATTTCACTCTGGAAACATGATACCAAGAACAAAACAATGTTGGTTGATGTGTTTTCTAAAATAATATAGATGTAAGTATATATATATATTTCAAATTATTTTGTTACCATTCAAAAGATGACCATTAAATTGATGATGTGTTAAATTTTTAGATTTTTCTTATGACTGGTTTAAGAGAAACGTGTGTTCAAAAAGTTCTCCATATCGATACCACTCCTTTGTTCGTAAAAACATTTGTTGTTCGTAAATGACTATTACAAACATAATTCAATTTCTGGATCTGACGTTGACACTACTGCTACACCGGAACTGCCAAACATACAACTACAACCAAATCTGAGCCTGAGCATGAAGCTACTACAGCCGAACTGCCAAACATGGACATCACACCTGAACTGCCAAACATGGAAATCACACCTGAACTGCCAAACATGGACATCTAAATGTCTATGTAAATGTACGCATCGTGAAAGTGGAAATTAAACGAAATAATTAAAAAAAGACGTGTCTTTTATTTCCCCGGGGATTATCGTCGGTTAACCGGTTAATAATTTCAATACCGGTAAATGCTCAATTCCGTACCGAAACCGTATAACCGGAATTACCGTCAGCCTCTAGTTATCATTTGAAAGATATAAGAATGATATTGCTGACGTATTTAAGTCTGACGTAGCCAAAGCATAAAAATCATCTGCACTGTGAATATGAAATTTTCTTTTGGTCTGCGGAGTGCTTCATCGATGCCCCGATCTCATCACAAGGTCATTTTTCATGGCCACTGAAAACGTTCTTATCGTTATGTTTTGCTTCATTCGAGCTGAGTTAAGTCACTAGTCCTAGAACGAATTTTTTTGTCAGACTCGATACCTTTTCAACGGTTTCTGATATCACATAACAAAACTCTCAGCATAAACTCAATTCTTTCCTGTGATTTTTATTTTTTCTTTGAAGTTCTGGAAGTTTAATATTCAGTGCAATGGGTTATCCCGGTTTTGTTTTAGAGAAAGAGAACATTGAAAGAATTAATCTCGCTTTGTTGCCTCCATTCTCGAAGCGTGCATTTTGTGCTGATTTCTTTTTGCTAGTCGGTTGGGATTATATTTCAAAGAGGAGTGCTTTTTGCATTGCTTGCCTTACATTTTCTTTAATATTCTCGAGGATTGCTTAGTTTTTGCTTTTCTCTATCTCTTTTTCAACGAATTGCGTTTCGCAAAGGCATTTTGAATATTACAGATCATATACAGATCGTGAAAATGGAATTGAAATAGATAAAAATTAATCATAACACGAAAACATCGTTGAAAAGCTGTAATCGTTCAAATTACTTAACTAGAGTTTTTGGTTTATGCTGTTCTCCATTAATAATAATTGCAATCATTGAAAAGAAAACAGAATGCAAACATTAAGTGACTTTATGATTGAATTCAGCGATCCCCGGGAATACACTGAACGAAATGTTATTTACTGAGGGTCAACTATTTTGGGATTTAATGGTCTTCATATAACATTTTTTGTTATGACTTTTCCAAAAAATTATGCTAATGGAATTCCCAAATAACTTGTCATTTGCTTGCATGTTACGTATTATTGTAAAGACGTATAAAATGTAAAAAGCGCATTTACAAAAGGGCAAATTCGTTAGGTGTTATTGTTTCCTTGCCTATAAATTGATCTTTATGCGTAATCACTGAATAACTTTTAAACATGTGTTTTAAGAATATGGGTCATAATATAAGATTAAATCAATTCATCTGGGATTTATAAAAATGGCTAATTACTGCTTTGAGTTCAATGCTATAACCGTGACGTTTTTCACGCGTGACGATTGTCACAGTTTCGCACAATATCAGTTCATAGATGAGGTAATGCTTGTTATTTCGAAAATCATTTTATGTTATGATGGAGTGGTCATATTGTTTTCTTGAAAATTGCCCCATTTCCAACAAGACTACTGTCAATATATGAGTAACATCACGGTCGTTTTTCACAAGCAAAACGGTGATTTTTCAGAAATTTTCAGATCATGTTCATTATAATTCAATCACAACTAGTATCACGATTTGTAACACTTTGGTCTGATAAACTGAACTAAGGACTTTATAACTACGGATAATTAATTTATCTCGAGTTTCCCTACTGCCGTCTGGGCCTGTTTTAACGACCGTGACGTTTTTCACAGAATAAATTGTACACTTACTATAATGGGTATATTATAATCGGTAGTGGGTGAGAAGCAAATACACTGCTGTCATCCCACTCTGACTGAATGTCTTCTATGCAAAAAGAACCAAAATGAAAAGATGCGACCATTTATAACTGAGATATGACATGTTTTCACGGGCGTGTTGTCCTGTTACATCAGCAAATTCACGAAATTCACAACTTATTAGCGAATTTTCAAAGTTATTTACAACCGGACTGATCAATACGTATGCTGACCGAATAAAGATAAAGGCATATTGTTTTAAAATACATAAAACAATTAGAAAAAATCATTTTAGTTTTAGCTATTTTCAATAACACGAAAAATACCCATTTTTAACATTTATTGGTTTTGAATGATAAGTGATATTGACTTTACCTTCTTCATGTTGGTTAATGGGAGGGTTTGTCGGTTTTTCGTCCTGCTTCTATGTAGCTCTTTTGGCAACTGACCTACAACTTGTTACCTGCTGTGTGTGACGTCACTGGTCACGTGGTCTCTGATTGGGGACCGGTCAATCTTACCAGAGTTGACCTTGCCTATATATTTATTGTACTAATAACCTATTCTCCCTGACAAAACTGTTTATAATGTCATGAATCTAATTATGGTATAATTATTATTTAACTTACTGAGCAATACAGTCAGACATAAAGACAGATTTGATTTGAAAATGATGGAGTTTGTACCTTTTTAGTTGAGAAATGGGTATGATTATTATACATTCCCAAAATATATGTTACAATTTGAGAGCAACCCAAGGTTCCTTCGAGGACTTTCATCAGGTTGGCCTTGGAACATCCGTAAAATTCTTGAGATTCATCAATGGCATCCCATTCTTCTTTATACTTATCGGTCATGTAGACAGCAAGCAGTACATAGTGCTTGCCATAATATCCAAGGTTATATAGCTAACAAAATACATATAATGTTTGAGTATTACATACCTAGCGAAGTATTTGTATGGAAGCCAATAGGAAAGTTAGCGATATTGCCCGACTATCCCGATGTAGCCTCCTTACCTCGATATGATATTAGATTCTTTAATAAATATAACAATATCACGACGTCATGTTTCATTTCGATCAAATTCGACTTTCATTGATACAAAGTAGCCATGCGGATGAAGGTATGTAATACCAACAGGTTCTAGGCAGTTTGATTGGTCAATTGTGATGATGATATATGTACATATGGCACGTGACTCATTTTCATGTGATACGGTTGATTGTATCACAATGGAGTCAATAGCAACAATATCAGAATACAGGAATTTTGTTTACGGATACTGTTGTCATGTATTTCGTCTTATTGGTGTGATTTCATATAGAAATGATATTAGACATGATGGAATCACGAAATGGCGGACACGTGGCAGTTTTGAGCTAAAAATATTGTCGTTTCTTTTATGAAAACCATGGGTCGGATATTTACTACCAGGTATGCCGTTTGACTAGATCATGAGTTTAACTATATACAAGCGCTGATAATAAGAGAAGTTGGAAGCTCAAAGAGTCAATTCATATTTTCAATGACAAAGTTAAGTGGAGCAGCGTTATATATAAAATATCTGCTGAGTTGTGGTTTTGAAAATTTACCGACATCATTTCAAACCTCTCATACGAAGGCCTTAAACATGTGTTTTTGGATCGAGTGGACAAATATAGGAAGTGCATTGCAACTGTGGTTGAATATTTTAAATGAGAATGAATATTAGCAGAAAAACTAATTAAACATGATTAAACTACAGTCTGTTGACAGATGACACTACTTAGTGTTAGAAATTTCCAAAACCACAGCTTAGCACATTTTTTTTATAAAAAAACGCTGCTCCACCTAATTCAATCATTGAAAATATGCATTGTCTCGTTGTGCTTTTTAAGATAAACACAAAGAATAATATTGAAAAAATCTGTGATAAGACCCCTTTTCCAGTGGCCTGGCTCAATTATCCATATACACAGTGTGCGACCACAGACTACTGAATAATCATTCCTTTTGCACAACTGGCCAAAATCTGCTCTGGAGTTTTAGACATTGCAACAGTTAACAGAGTCACACGTGAGGTTACTGCTCTCTGCCAGAACCCAAGATGATTCAAAGAGGTGTGCGACATGAACTCACAGCCAAGTCTCTGTGTGTAGAGAAATAGGGGTCGTGTGAAGGGGCATGGAACGTAATCTTTCATGAGTATTCTTTCATAAGATGACAGGCAACGACTGTTTGTGCCTCTTTTTTCCATATGTTTCGTGAACTAAGCCAACAAGGATACTGATGAACACTTGAAGGTGAATTTTTTTTCCATTTTTCTTTTTCCTTAGTAAATCTAAATCAGAAACTTGTGTTATGTAAATTATGTGACAAGAAATTAATCCGCACTATCAATTACTTAATAATGATTTACCCGATTGCACAATACGGATCAGTTGATTGATATTTCATAACTTGGCACAAAAGCCTACACCCATGTACGAAAAAACAATTACTTTTCAGTGGTCCATGATCAGAGGTTAACAAATGACATATCATTGGAAAGGGGAGACACGTGGCTTCATGATAAACTAAATGAAATTGATGTAATCATCACTGTTTTTTTGATTTTACAATATTTTTTGTTGCGTTTTTTGGACCCACTGTATAACCAGTGACATCATATCGTTTCTATTGACTCCGTAGTGATACTGTCCATCGTATCGTATGTGCTACGTGATGCAAAATATGCCATACCAATTTTCCAAAATATGTGTCATTTATCACTTCAATGTTTATCCAAAGTTACATTGATTTGCCAAGTGTCATGGTTCAACTCACAAATGGGAAAAGGTTACGGACATATTAAAATTTAGTTTTGGCCAAAATTAAAGTTCAGTTTTACAACAAATTAATAGTCGGTGTGTTTCCCATTGGCCATGTTGAAGCAGCAATACTTTCTTCTTTTTGACCCTCATAAAACCTTTGTAAATCATTTTTGAAGAGTTTTCTTGAGGTAGTTGGCCCCACCATCTTCTTTTCCAACTCAATATCCATACTTTCCTTGATAATAACATTCATAGTTTCGATCACATTCAGGTCAGAATTATTTACAAGATAATAAACTGAACCTTTATTTTGGCCGTACATTAAGTTTTGAAATGCCTGTAATTTTTTTTAGATTTGTGAGTTGGGGGTCCCATGCCTTCGGGACACTTTCAGGACACCCTATATTTATGAACGATTTACATATACACAACGTGATATTGTGCAAAATATACAGAGGCCATAGAAGATTTCTAAAGGTATTGAAAAAATTCACAAAATCCAAGTTCTGGGGTACACATCGTCATTTATGAACGAATTAGCCCATATAATGACTATTTTTTTGCATTTATACATAACCTTTATCTTAACATTATACTTAACATAGGATTTGCGTCTCGACTTTTAAAAACCACGACGCCGACGTAGGGACTCATTTTAAGGTAAAATTCCTGCTTGACCGATGACAATTAACGGATATAGTAGTTCCAGTTAGCGGGAGTATTTTCTTGCGATTATTTTCTATTATTTAGAAAGTGCTTGTCCTCAGCTTTAAATACATACCTCAAATGGCCACAGTACATGTACTTAAAACTACTATACACACCATTGTAGTTGGCACGCCATCATTTTTAAAGTATTTAAAAACACCTACCCGGAAGTGGTATTTACCGTTAGTAAACGAAACTCTCGGAACCAATAACTTATAAAATACCTTGCATAGAAGTCGACCAAAGTCATCGAAACCAATTGTGAAAGATACGAAAATCCGAATATCCTACAAAATAATGAAAAGAAATCACTAGTTATTTTATAAACCAGAAATTAAATATAAATCATGTTATTATTGGATATTACGACACCATATCTGCGTTATTGGAAGAATATTATATCAAAATATAAGATCATATTTGTATATTAGAAAAGTATATGTAGGTGGACAGTTGCCTAATATATCTACACAGACTCACATCAACCGTGGTGTTTCTCAGGGATCAATGTTGGTCCAATTTCATTATCAATATACATAAATGACTAACCCAATGATAATATAATTTGGAATAATGTACCAACGTCTTATCCCTTTCATCTATCTGATTCAATTATGCATCTAGACAATTACGACAATGAGAAAAGTTATCACTTAAAATCTGACTTTGGGAAGATTATCACATAGATCTTGAATAGATAATTTGAGGTAAACTAATTTTTTCACCTGTAGTGGTTCCCAAATGACATCAGGCGATGCTTTATCAGATGTTAACAGTACATCAGCATCAATAGTTGCATTTCCTCTTTTAAGTTCGTCCATGAACACCTGAACTGGCTAAAAATAAAAAAGGATAGAATATATGTCCCGTTTTTTCATCAAACAATATTCTATTATTGATTTTTAATTGCTTTTTGGATCATATCAGATTGCACAATAAGTAAAATGAAAAATAAAATTAAAGTAAAATATTTTTAAACGTTTTAGTATAAATCTATGTCGATTTGATCTTTTACGATTTGACAAGTCCAGGTCAGGTCAACTAGCGACAGTCACGTGTTATGTTCATTGAATTAAATTATACAAAAACAGCGAAATCAAAAGTTCAATTCGATTTTCAAAATATTTTGTTTAATTTATTTGTTAAAATCATAAAAACATATATACATATCGGTGATAATGCCATCCTAGTGGGTGTATGTCTTCTCATAAGGTAGTATTTCATGATCATAGTGTGCAAGAGAAGATGGAAATATTACATGGTAAGGCAGATCTCCTAAATTATTGTGTGTACATCCAAATGATGTTTTTCATATGCAATATGCTTAATTCAAGAGCTTTGCTTTGGGATGCAGTTCCAGTGTTCATTCATAGCATTATCCAGATATCCTACTCTATGCACTTGCTCATGTTTTTTGCGTTGTGGATACGCATTTTATAACGATGTCAAGGGCCTATTTTATATGTTATATTTTCATATTTATTTTTTATTCTGCATATACATGTTGTAATTTTTAAATTTGAAATAACTAATGTACTCATCTTTAAAGTGGAAATAAAGAAACGTAAACATAAGCCAACAGGGTAAATGTATCTCACAAATTATATTCAAATCCTTTCAGTGTGACCACAGACCAAAACCTAACTTTGAAAAACAAAAGCAATAAAAATCCTTATTTACAATCATAGGAGCAGACTGATCTTTACTATCTTCAAGTACAACAAAAAACAGCCTTTAAATAGATCAGAGTAAATCAAAAAGAAAACCCATCATTGCCACTAATACAAAATCACAATCTTTAGAGTTTAAATGGATTTCAATGCGGCATTGCCAAATTATATGGATTTTCAAAAGATGTACCAAATAACATTATATCAGACATTAGGGGACTTTTGATTTAAGTTATGTGCTCATTGTGAACGTAAACTTGTACTATTAAATAAAAATACAAGATGTTACTTAACGAAGGCTATTAAAAAAATCTCAAAATGTTGCATGTAATATAAGGTTAAAATGCAAACCATATCTTACTTTTAAACTGTATTTATCACCACATGTCTGAGATATTTTGGTTTAAAATGATATGGAAATTTCTATATGACATATACATCATAAGTCTATCTCATCTCTGACTGACTTTGAAGATGGACATATGAAACTCCCTGTGCAAATACTGGAGAGAGAGTACTCGCTCCGGGAATCGCTAGCACAGATTGGCTTGATTTTCGAATCAAAATGGTAGTCAAAGTATAATTCCGTTATTCACAACTTACCTCAGCCATCAAATTACTTTCATATCTAATCAGTCCTACTTTCTTCCACTTAAAGAACTGTATCAGCTTATTAAAAACATATGAACATTCATTGTTTCCAGCAACATTTTTGACGTAGTACTTATAAGGTTCCCTCTCGTACTTCGAATAAATAGACACGCTATTCTGGAAATAAATTTTAAGCTAATATGATCTGTTCATTGTATTGAGAATACAGAGGCCATTCTTCAAATTGAAGAGACAATCTACTCCGAAGATAAATATTCAAGCTGGTATGGTTTTGAGCATACATATGCCATATTTCGATCAAAAAGAAAAGTCTATTCTGGACATCGATTTAAAGCTTAGCGCTCTGTTCATAGAAATTGAGCATACAGATGCCATTTTGTACTAAAGGAATTGGCAACCTTTTAATAACTTCCCCACCTTGATGTCATTTTTCAAGAAAGTTTTTTTGTATTTAAAGTTTACTTTCAGATATATAATAAATAAGCAAAAATATCATAAACTCTTTGATAGTTAGCACATTTCATTTGAGATTTCAGCAGGGTTCTAATTTACAAAATTTGTTTTGCTCATAGTAATAGGCATAGAGATGCAAGATGCAAACCGGAATTCTAATTAAGACCCCCTAACATATGAACGAATTCACCAGACGCAGCGTGAAGCATGAGCTAAAGGATAGGTATCGATATGGTGAACTGAATTCAACAATGTTTTTCTTTTAAACCAGTTATTGAAAACATTCTGTAAGAAAACACGGTCCTTTATGTAATATTGACTGATTGGTAACAATTCTTAAGAATGAAATAAAATATCTTTCCGAACATTGTTTAAACAAATATCATATACAACACGTTCTTAGACCTCTCAATACTATAGTTATACAAAGGAAATTTTGGTTGATTTAACAAAGAGTATGCAAAAACTTAAACAAAACTCCCAAAATAGATAAAAAAATAAGATAACCTTTTCTTTCATTAACACGATACTTTTTTAAAATCAACCAAACTTTTCTTCATACAATTACAATATTGAGTGACCTAAACACGTTGTGTTAATGTCGTTTTATTCCAACAAGGTTCGGATAGTTTTTGCATTTCATTTCGAACATATGATACCAAGAACAAATTTAGAAGTATCTGCTGTTTTTTTGTAACTCTATAGAGAAAAGAATATATATATCCATATATATTTCAAATTGTAATGTTACCATCAAAAAGATGACCATTAAAATTGACGATGTGTAAAATTTCCAGAATGTTTTGATGACTGGTTTAAAAAAAACGCGTGTTCAAAAAGTTCACCATATCGATACCACTCCTTTGTCAATTCTGACGAATCTTGAGCGAAACTGTTACAAAATCTGCTACATGATTTCAAAACATAATAAATGGTAATGTTTTAACTATTTGTTGGAAATGTTTGTTTTACGAAGTGTGACGACTTGCTACTTTTATTCGCTAAAATGCGTTGGGTCTCGCAAAAAACGTTTATCATTCTGTCAGCGATTAACAACGCAAACATGGCTGCGAACTGAAGTGCAATGGTGCGTATGCCACCGAGTCTGAACGAAGCTTTGCGCAAACCTAAATCTATAAAAGAACTTTAAACCAAAACCGGCTTCTGATTAATTAGCGGACATTCAGTTATGGCTGAAACCTATGAATATTTCAGTCTCAGGCGATTTATAACTTCCATTTTATCAAAGAATTATTTTATTTGACCGAGTCTCCTCCTCTCCTTATATGAATAAAGGTAAATAAGTTATAACTATGCAAATCGAATATTTAAGCACATGTGCAAAAAAGGGAGAGGACCAAAAGTTGTAATGGAACTTAGCAAGAAAAAGCAAACTCTAATTGCATACCAGTCAAGAAAAACAAACCCCATATATCCCAAAACCATGATCTAACGTGAAAAGAAAGAATGTCTAATACCCCCTTTCCCCAACCATTCACCATTCAAAGTTATTTTGAAGGAAAATTCAAATATGCCATCAAAGGAGGAGGGAAAAACCAACATATGACTTTCCAAAGTCTGTTGCGATACTTTCCCTCCTCGTTTTATTTGCGCCGCATATTTTAAAAAAAAATTACCGACGAATAAGACAAATTGCAACGGATTGTAAACGCTTACAAACGCATCCAAACGAACACCAACAACCATGCTCGACGTACTGCCACACGTACTAATGGGAACGAATTCGAGTCATATTCTATTGGCCATCATACGCAATTTGACGTTTAGGGGGGTTCGCTCATATGTGAGGGAGCCTTTAGGTCAATATTACGATCCAATTTATCAGAATTCTTTAATCATGCAACATGGTTTGGCCATAATAACTCGAAAAAAGCACAACAGTATCTTACTGTTATTTTCTTGTAACGGATACCAGTTCTCATGTTAATTATTTTAATAAACATAACTTACCACTATGCATCCCCATTTAGTGCATATCGGGACATCTGTCTCTCTTCCTGCCCAATAGCTCAATAGGATGGAAGTATCACGACCTCTGTAGATATAGTCCCAAAGTTTGCTGTTCGCAGTGGCTATATCGAATTCCTATAAAATTGAATGTTTTAACCCTAATGTGTACAACATATTTTTCATAACACTAATAGACGACCCTCCGTGACGTTTCAAAGTGGAAGAGGTACAGACAAAGTAAGGTACCACATTTCAGGCCATTCATAACTCTCGAGGAGGTAATTAAAATCTCAAAAAGTATGGAAAATTAGGTCAAAAGTATAGATAGATACCTTTCCTTGATCCAGAGATAGGTAATTTGGTCGAGAATTTGACGAAATATCGGAAAATGGGGGATGGGAAACAAATCACAGCCCAGGACCTGAGATACTAATTATGTATTATTTTGGTTAAAATAATCTCTTAGGATATAACCCTGGCTATAATATAGTGTAAACCGTTTGCATTTTATTTAACTTTTAGCTGAGAAAATTTGTTTTTAGTGCATATCGGCTGGCGAAAACAAAATGTCACGAGTTGAAAATAAGTTTTTTTTCAGCCAGGAGTTGCAGCATTGACATATTCTCATGGTTTATTTTGCTTCTAATTATAATAGATGCAATAGGTTTCTACTTGTACATTATCAAAATATTACAAAGAATCACATGTTTGGCTCTATATTTACTGATTTATGAAAACTATTTTAAAATAAATAAAGCCACCCACGATGACGGAATTTTTTTTCTCAAAAACTAGGACGTCAAATACCATTTACAGCTCTTACCTACTTGTTTATTCTATACTTCAAATAGTTGTGTTATATTCTGATGCATATATATTTAGTTTGTAAATTATATGCATATCAAGAGGGAAAAATTAGTAAAAATAGCAAAACAAATAAATATATGGCTATATTGTTATCTGTAGCTATAGGTACTACGATTATAAAAGTTTTTCTTGGCAGAGGTGTACCGGCAAAAATCCGACCCCCCTGTACACATTAGGGTTAAAATATAAGTGCTCCACTGATATGGTGTTTAAACTGCTTCTTTATTCGGTACATTTAATATTCCATCCATACCAAATAAAACAAACAATTTATCAAACCTTTACACAATCTTTTGAAAGTCTTTTATTTCATCGAATATAATAACACTCTATACAATTTATATTCGCTAACACCCCAGTCACATTTCCTACGGCGACCTTGCGGTCTATCATTTCTGCGGCCAGTAACATTCCAACGCTCGCCGTGGAATTTCTGCGCTCTCATACTTTTGCAGTCACATTTCCCAAATTTCATTTCAAATTTCTGTTGATAAATAATACTTTTTTCATTTTATTTACATCGGGACAATTTATAAATGTTGTTCATAGTGCGAGGATGTCATATCAAATGAAAAGTGATCGTGAAACATTGATAAATAATTTTTTTTAATAATCATTTATTTCAAATATATACTATACATACAATAATACAATAATAACGTTTGACAAGGTTACGGGTAACATTATTGTCAAACTGAAAACCTTAATGTAGTTACATTCATAATTTTTACTTTAGAAAGAAAGATTCATTATTTTATTTAAAATGGTCAAGTTGTGTGCTTAATGTGTAGAGTTTGGTTACGGGTCCAGTAGGTCTTTGGTGGATTGCAAAAATGACACACTTGCTTTGATTATTAAAATATTAGTATTATGATCAAAATCAGGGTGACCAAATAAAAGCATGTCTATTTTATCAGAAGAATTACAATCTAAAAATGCACTTAAGCAATCCGCCATGTGAAGATCTCTAAGGAGTTGACATCTTGGGTTCATGTATGTATGTATAGAGGGCACTGTAGAAAAAAGTGTTTTGGTGTTTCAGAGCGATGACCACAGGCACATTCTGGTGAAGGTACATTGTTAAAAGTATGTGCAAAAAGCTGGCTTTTCAAATAAAGATCTACTCTGAGTCTATTAAATGCATATGAGACTTCATTTTTTCTTTTGACATTACTATAAGTTATGAAATTAGTACCATTGGAATTTTCATAATGTGCCTTGATCCTACGTTTAAAAATTGAAATTCGCTCACAATTTCTTATATCATCAGGTAAAGTATTCCAAGTTTCAATTGCTGCATAGAAAGTAGATTTCTCAAACCTTTTACTTATATCTAAAGGAATATTGTATTCTCTGAAAAATCTTAGAGTTCGAGTTGGAATATTTCTGCAACCATTGAAAACTTGACTTACATATGGTGCTATTAAATTATGTCTGCTTTTGAAAAGAAAAGTACATTAATGAGATTTTCTTCTATCTGGTAACTTTGTCCAATTTAAAATATCTAACACCTTCTCAGTGCTAGAGCCATGCAAAGCGCCAGTTATCAAACAAGCTGCATTATATTGAAGTCTGTTTAACTTTATCAAAGATAATTCAGGAGCACTAGAATATAAGATATCACCATAGTCAATTCGACTCAAAATGAAGGCATTATAAATGGTTTCTAAGTGTTTAATCTTAAAACATGAGTCAACCTTTTAAAAGGGTTTAGCAAAGCTTGAGACTGTTTTATTAATTCGTTAATATGCTCTTTAAAGGTTAGTTTTTGATCTAAAATGATACCCAAGTGCTTATGGGTATTTTGTTTATCTATTGGGTTAGTTCCTAAAAATAAAATTGGTTCATTTTGAATAACAGTTGTTGGTGAAGTGAAAGTCAAGTCAACCGATTTTGAGGCTTTAAAGTTCATTTGCCATGTTTGGGCCCAGTTATATATTTTGTTAAGATCTTGTTGTAAATCAAGACAATTTTGTGGCTGATCTTTTGGATAGGGGCTAAAAATTGAAGTATCATCTGCATAGATAAACGTTTTGGATTTTAAATTAGTTGGTAGATCATTTATATAGATAAGAAACATCAAAGGCCCTAAGATGCTACCCTGGGGTACACCTGCATTTAGAAAGTTTGGTTCAGACAAATTTGAAAGTTTTTCATTTATCTTGACTTTAACCTGTCTACCAGAAAGATAGGACTTTAAAAGCAAGAGTAAGTCATCTTTTATACCATACGCTGTTATTTTATGAAGTAAAAGATGCTGAGGGACAACATCAAATGCTGATGCAAGGTCCAAAAAGATTGTACGGACATTGTTACCAAATAATGATTCAATCTTGTTGAGCCAGTTGATTTCTATGGGGACCTCAGAAATGAACAAATATTATAACTCCGAGTTATAATTTCTACGGCGAACCTGCGGCCTGTAAAAAAACTGGATACGCCGAACGGAGGCCGCAAGGCGAGCATAGTTTTCCTACGCTCGCCGCAGAAATTCACTGATTTATTTGATCTGCGGTCGACGCACGGCCTCCGTACGACAAATGTGACTGGGGTGTAAATAATTACACCTGTTCTTTGTGTTGGTATTTGCATTTGATATTTATGTCATGTATTTGTGCGATGTAGCGAATCAATTTGGTATTTAGATTATTCATGTTCGGTACATACCATATGTCACATTCGATAAATTTCGTTATTTTTCGATACTTTACGAGACGTCCAGTCACGTGATATATATTAGGGATAAGGAATAGCTGCGCGGCCATTTTGGAAAAATCGAGGTCACTTGACAAAATATCGAACGACAACGAAAGATATCGAATATTATCCTACACTTTAGGGTATATGTATAATAACATTAAAAAATAAATTTGATATTAATTGGCAAAATGAATATCCGGAGGATATCATAACGATATACTCCGGGCGGAGGATATCGTGACGATATACTCCAGAAACCCCAATATGCGGAGGATATTATGACGATATACTCCGCTTCTTGATTTCCCGCCAAATTGACTCTATTTGGCATGGAATTCATTTTGCAATGATATTATGCATTTAGTACACTCCTTGTAAGTGTAGGATAATAAGAACATCGTACATACCATATGTCACATTCGATAAATTTCGTTATTTTCGATACTTTACGAGACTTCCAGTCACGTGATATATATTAGGGATAAGGAATAGCTGCGCGGCCATTTCTGAAAACTCGAGGTCACGTGACAAAATATCGAACGACAACGAAAGATATCGAATATTACTTTATTGCATTTGGTAGATAGCAAATTAGCTTTCGGTAAAATGCATCAAATATGTAATAGAAAAAACCCATTTGGTCAATATGGTAAGTATTAATTATTTTTGATAATGTTTGTATGAGTGTAATAAAAAATGTATTTTGACCAAATATTCAATATTTTTGTATTAATGAGTTGAAATTCAGTGAAGCCCGCCTACTTACCGGCAAACATGGATCCAGTTTTAGCTTAAACAACGGAAAAAGTTCCTTAGCATCATTTACATCTAGAATTGCTCTTTGGGCATATTCACAAATGTCATCAATATATGCATAATCCTTCGAATGGCTTATAAGATTTCCCACAAGTATAGAATCACGGTCATCAGTTTCATTGGGTCGATTACTTAAATAACTTGGTGTGGTTCTATCATCAGCAATACGTGCATTACCATTAACAGGCCGTGTTGTGCCATTTTCAACGAGTGCAGTGCTATTTGACGTAAGTTTTGCGTCACAAGCCAATTCAAACGCTGCCAATATTATTTTAAAAAGGAGAGGTGTCAGGCGCAACCTCACCATAATGTTGAGAAGTAGGTACTGGTATGTGTTCCTCAGACGCCTGGTTATCAGACGCTAAAAAGCTACTTAAGACGAACCATCAAAAGATCACCTTGATTACGTTAAGCGGATGATGTTTACTGATTCAGATTATAAATTTACAACATTTTCACGTGACACCCATTTAGAGGTCACTGTAACATAGTAAACATGCATCGCACTTCAAACACCCGGCTTCGCATCCAATTTTAAGCTTAAAATTACCTATTGCTACATGAATGGATAACGTTTATTCAAATTAATAATGGTGAAGCAATGCTATTTATGTAATAACCATTACATACTTGTGTTGAAATATGAATTAATATGAAATATTTATAATAGTGTACATGAGGCATTTTTGAGCTATAGTTTTCATGTGGAACTTCTTTTGTTTCTGGTATCATATGTTCGGAATGAAATTAAACATCTATCCTAACCTCATTCACAGTCCTGTTTTCCTTGTCCAGATTAATGTCAGGCTATGCTAGAGCTAACCCTACTATCACACCAAACTAGTTCTCACTACGTTCTCGAAAACGGGCTTTAACTGTGTACGAACGGACTGGACGTACTAAGAACCGTTTGGGATCTATTTACAAACTTCATCGAACGTACTCGAACGGGTAGGTCCTCTAGAACTTAGACAATGCTCAAAATGTACTCGGGGTCGTCACGTTATACAATTAGAACGAGTGACAACGTACTAACGACGAGCTGGACGTACTACGAACGGAACCGTCGTACTTCAATCTTACTAGGGACGTTTTAACAACGAGTTGAACTGTCTGAGGACGTGTTGAGAACGAGGTAGAACTAATTACAAACGGGTTTAAACTGATTAAGAACGTATTTAACACTGCTTAAGAACGAGTTAGCAAAAATATAGCTATCACACCAAACAAGTTGCCACTGCGTTCTTCAAAACTGGTTTGAAACTGTGTGCGAATGGAATGAACGTAGCAACTTCCTAAGGTATATTTACGAACTTTATGAACGTTCTCCGACGGGAATGTGATTTTAGAATTTTGAATCATTCAAAGTTCGATGGCGACCATGCCGTTCTGTAATCAGGTCATGTTGACCTTCTAGACTAAGGGACGCGTTCTACGACGTTGCACACCGACGTGGTGGGACCTGAACGAACTGCGAACGAGATGGACGTATTGAAGACTGTTTAAGGACGAAGAAGCTAATTATTTCAGACATATTTCCAGACCACAGCCAGATTGAGCCCGTTTTACGACGTTTTCGTAGGACTGGCAAGAACGGGTAAGAACTAGTTTGGTGTGATAGGGGGGTAAGATGATTAATTGCCTGCATTGCGCGGCTTAACATTAATGTTTACTTGGCTCTCATAGCAGTAAAATCTTAACTGCTGAAACTCAGCTTTAACATTAAACCATCAAGTTTTTTCCTCATATATTCTCAATTAAGAGTATAATGACATTAAAAGTTACATAGATAAAAAGACAATTAAGTTCCCACATCTCGGTATTAATATTTAGTACAATTACATTTTCTAAGCTCATTTAGATGACAAGTGATAATGGGTAAATGCTCTCCAATGCAAATTTCTTTCATTTCTTATTGTAAGTCATGTTTTTATTGATGTTTTTTTTAAAAATTAGACTATGAAAAATAATGAAAATTGCAGATATTGTTCATGACACTCTCATCTTATAAAATTAGCAGAGGAAACTTTTGGTTAAGGTATGTGAAGGTTGCTTTACCTTCCTAAAACCTCCGATATTTTCATTAAGTGATGAAATTGAACTTACTAACATATATTGATCACATTATATCTTTGCAATTAAAATATATATACCATCGTGTTTTCAAACATCTGTATCTCCGTCAATTCAACTTAACCGAACTTTATTTTCGGATGAACATGTGACAAATTAATTTTTCTTAAATTTACTATTTGACAAAGTTTTATTTCACTGTCAAACCTTTTAATATTTTTGCTCTAAAGTGTGACCATCTTTGTGTAAATAATTCAATCCTAAATGATTTGCTCAGTTGTGAAGCAGCTTAAAGAATAACCACTTCAGTGAAATGAACCAACATTGATCACGCTGTTCTATAAACTAACTTCTGAACTTCTGAAATGATCAAAACAACTGATCAACATATATTTATTCTAGTCAACTTAAAATGCTTACTCTAAAAACATGCTGATATTATTTGAACAGTGCAACAATTGTATATTATAGAACAGTATATTTATTTAATGGACATTGTTCCAGATTGTAGAAGGACCTAAGTGCCTCATTAGTCGACACCGGCTGGTAGTGTTTTAGTTTACTTTGTATTTGACATTGTATATATACTTTTAAAACTAGTGACACTGTAATTAAATATTTTAACATAATATTTTAATATAATGATAATATTCTACACACAACGCTATAGCTGGAGTGATTAATGACGGCTGACATTTAAGTGGCCCGATATGCTAGCATTTACAATACTGTGCATTGGAACAAAACGACATAAACATAATGTGTTTAGGGCTCTCAATATTGTGATTGTACAAAGGAACGTTTGGGAGATTTTAAAAAAGTACATTGTTAATGAAATAAAAGGTTTTACTTATTTTACTTATTTTGGGGGGTTCCTTTGTATAACTATAATATTGAACGGTCTAAGAAAATGTTGCTTTTTTGTTCGAACAAGGTTCGGAAAGACATTTCATTCTCAAGAATCGATAGAAAGGAACAAAAAACAAGTGCACTGAAAAACAAAAATGATAACAAAACAGTTATATAAAATATATATAAATAATTTTCGCATTTCTCATCGGTCAACATTACATAAAGGACCGTGTTTTTACAGAATTCAGTTCACCATATCGAAACCTCTCATTTCCCCATCCCTTGTTTTTTTGTAAGTTCAGTAATTCGATTGATATCTTGTTTAGGTAGTTGCAAGGCAAAATCAATATTTTGAGTGAAATTTGAAATTGATTATTTAATTGTTTAATTACTTTTTATGCAATAGCAACAATTGAAGACTTCAGATTACGGACTCTTTCAGCTGAGTCAGCAAGAAGATAGACATTTGGACAATTCTTAGATTGTAAGCATGAATTGTATTTGTTTGTAGTCTGCGTCTGATGTTTTTCAATCCATATTCAATCTTTGTCGCCGCTAACTTAACACGGGGTTTCAATCATATCAATTTTCCGGATACTTCACCTTACAATCATCACAATTATAAAGGAAGGGAGATATGTCTGGAAGGAAGAAATCCTCCAATCAGAAAATTATTTTTTTATTGATTTGATAATTTTGATTTGATAGAGAAATTGCAATCGGACATTACAGGGTGTGTTTTAAATAGTTAAGTTACGTTATCATTTTAGTAGAGTTTCGATAAATTCTTGTCATTGAAAACTATAAATTGCAATTGTGAGAAACAGCTGCGTATATTAATAGTATTAATGTATTAGAATCACCATGTACATTAGATATTTGAACCATACAATATAAATAAACGCAAAGGAAAATGAATGTCAAATAATGTTACTGATATATCATGCAAAATCATAATTGGATAATTGAACATGATAGAATGAGCAAGATGTAAAATCATCGTTTTAGTAACTTTCCATATTGTATTTCTTTATTTATTTGTATTATTAAATGCTCAGAAAAACTGATACATCAATTGCAAGATATAGTTGCTGATTTGGAACCAACATTCTATATAGTACAGGGTGCGCCTTTTAAAAAAGTTGCAAATTTTTTTGGCACACCCTGTAGATACATGTCTTTAAATGCAAAAAACCTGGGGTCAGTTTTTGCCTCTTACTCCACAAGAAAACAAAAGGTTTTCAATCGAAATCGAAGCATTCTTGTGTAGGATATGATTTTTCTTTAAAATTATTATGTATAGTACATGACAAGGTTTTACATACATAGAGATTATCCTATATGAGGTTCAGGATATTGGGATTATTCCGAGGCCAATCAAGAATAAAATATATTTGCCCGAGAGGGTAGATATATTATATTGGCCAAGAAATAATCCAAATATCCCGAGCCGACTATATGATGATCTGTTTATCCCATACCAATCTTTGTCATTTGGTTCACATTGTTCAATTAGCCACAGTTCAGGAACTTTGCAACCAACCGTGGAATTATTTTAGAATATTCATGTCCAGTTTTGTATTTTTGTCCGTAGTCGGATTTTCCTTTTCGAATCTTTGATTGTTAACAGGACACACTGCCCCTTCCCTTCTTTAAAGCGTCAAACAAGTCACTACCCTTTTTCCCGATTTCAAATTTACAGTATTTTTTCATGAAGTTTTTACAGGATATACTCTAGTTGCTATTATTTGTCCGACTAGAAAGGGGAAAGGGTGTTTTCAGTTATACTTTACACGCGATTATACTTGTTGTATGACGAGGGAAACCTTTTTATCAAATTTTTCATTTTTCGTTTTTATTGTAATCCTTTTTAATTATATGATTTTTTTCAATTGGCTTATTTGAAGAAAACTTTGATTTGTTCGAAATCATTGTAAGTCTAGCACGGGTGGATTTACAATAATCGCTATAACGCTATCGTTCGTTCAAATGAAATGATTTGACAACTTACTTGAGGTCAACACTGAATGTTGTTTGTAATTCTTTAAGAAGTTGGTCACGAACAACCGGATCTCCTACTGCTTTACACATGGCCTCGTCGCGGGATAAGTCTGTTTCTACTTTTATGGGACACACAGCGTTGAATCGTACTCCCCAGTCCTCTACCCTGGGACTTAACTGAAATATATGTATTTTAAGTTCAACCATTGCCTATGTACACTTATCCTCTAAAAGACTCTCGGGTGGGTACTATGACCCATCTTTAAGGTCAATCAACATTCTTTATCAGTGTGAATTCGAAATATTTATTACAGTACTGTAATGTACACTCCCCTCCATAAGTTTGGCAACCTTTGCTCCCCCATTGGACTACGTGTTCAAGCCTCTTTACCTTTGAATTTTTATTTACTTAACCTGCGATGAAAATACTTATACTATTGATGGAAACGTAATTTGACTTTATTTCCAATACCTCCAAATTTTCTCAATTATTTTCCTCAATTACAATAGGTCGAAAATTGATGATAAAATTGATGAATTTTTGAAAATCGACATTCCCTTGTTAACCAATGGGAAATGATAGGTTTGCCGCAAGTCATATGACAGAAGATCCATCCATCTGAATCCTTGCAAAAAATACAAGTTGGATAGGCAATAGACTAGATGCGTCATTAAATATTCAAAATTCAGTCAAAGTGATGTAATATTTGAAATCTTCATGTAAAAATTCATCTAAAAATATGGTTTCGAAAATTGTTTATCAACTTTGAGAATTTAATATTTTTTGAAAATTCGGGTTGATTGCCTATAGACCTCATATTACAAAATCACAAAAAGTGAAATATCTTTTCTTGTGTTGGACATCTAACATTTTATTTTACTGGACATACTTAAATTTGCATAATTATTCGATACATAAGGGCTATATGAAAATTGAACTACTAAAACCTATGCAATTTAAGTTAAAGGGAACTTTCTACTTTACCCGCCACGCTATCTGACCCGAGCGAGCCACCTGGTGTTGAAACTGGTAACTGTACCTACTGCGTTATTGAATTTGCTAACTTTATTTAAGAAATTGATACTTTTCTTCAGGTTCAAAAAAGTTATAGGTCTTGAAAGTCAAAATTGTTTTCAAAAAACTCTCCCATTGAAATAACACAGGAGGCGAAAAATGATTTTCAAAAATGACTTTGAAGCTCTTTTACTTTAGTATTCATCAAGTAAACTGAACACTTAGTGTACGAAAAAGTTAGACAATTCAATTTTCTATATACAAATATTTTTTTGCTGAATCTTTTACTGAATAGATATCCTTAATTCTGAATTGCCCCGAACCCACCATTTCCCATTGGTTTACATGGGAATGACGATTTTCAAAAATTCATCAAAATCATAAATGTTCGACCTATTGCAATTGAGGAAAATATTGAAAAACATTGGAGGTATTGGAAATAAAGTCAAATTATACGTTTCCATTAATAGTTGAATTATTTACACCGCAGGTTAAGTAAATAAAAATTCAAATGTAAAGAGGCTTCAACACGTAGTTCAAAGGGGAGCAAAGGTTGCCAAACTTATGGAGGGGAGTGTATAAACAGTTTTCATTTATGAATGCTTGCAGTTATTATGCTTTTTTTTCTTATGATAGAAATAATTGAATTGAAATGGAATTATAATCCAAAAGGATATCAAGTTGAAAGAATATTGTATTAAATGTATGTAATATTACTGCTGAATAAAAAAATTGAAAATTTAAACCAGTGAATTTAATTCCTGCCCATATTAGGTGTGAACATTTTTTACAGTTTGTACAGTAATAAAAAAGCGTTGGGGTTTCAAACTGAATGCCGCGTTATCTCCAAAACGTACTAGCCTATAGGCGCCTTAGACTCTTGTCTCATGATAGAACGCCTAAAAGTAACAAAAGTTATTCGCAAAACATTTTATAAGATCTCGATATTACTCTAAATTCTTCATTTAGTCCGCTATTTTATTGGACCTGTTTTCGTTTCGCGAAATTTAATGAAACTGAAAAAGGTCGAGAAAAATGGGACGTGTGCGCGTGCGTGAGTGTAGTTTAAACCAATCAGATTATTTGATATTTCGCAAACGGGAATAATTCACCACTTACCATAAAAATCAACAAACCTGGCTGGCTGAGATTGCCCCTACTTCATTTTATCAAAATTAGAACTCAAACTCGTAAGTAATACATCATGTAAACGCTAGTATGAAGGATTTGAGAAATTTTATTTTGTTAAATATAATGTTCAGTGTATATCTCTCTTCAGCTTGGGAGAGTTTTGGGACATTACATGTAAAAAAATCGAAAAAGCCAAAAACCCGACTTCTCAAATTTGGTCATCAATGTAGCTACTTACTGAAACAAAATGATGAACATCTATCTACCATGTGATCCTTTACTAGAGATGGTTAAGTATTTAATATTATGCACTCGTCTTACCGCTATGCTACGAACAAACCTTATGAGTCCATGCTTCGCGGCTGAGTACATTACCATAACACCTGTTTGTACAAGACCTAAAAACACATTGAAGAAAAAATAGTATACGTAATGCTCATCAAATCTATTCACTTTGCAGAGACAGAGCAGAGGTGGGCGTAACTGTGATTGGCCACTTGATAGATACGAATTTTACGACGTCACAATAACTGTAAAAAAATAGACAATTAAGCCTCTAAATAACAAAACTCAGTCAGTGCATCCTTTACAATGTTCCGGTGTGAAAGAAATTATGGTCCCCTGGGGAGGAAAGAGTATTTAGGTCACCATATAAATCAATGGAAAGTAGGACAATAATTTAATAGGACCTCATACCCTTTTACACCGGTTCCTTAATTTTGTCTGATCGGTTGTTGGTAATGTCATTGTTTCTATCTAACATGATATTGTGCTGTGTGTGCTGATTTCCTATAAACTGTTGCTTCAAAAGTATATGCCGTACATCGTCTTAGAAAGCATTCAAAAATGTTAGAAAACATTCAAAAATGTCACTTTTCCTTCAACTACAGTCTCACATGTGAATGTAATACTCCCTGTTTGATTAATGCTATTAGGATACTGAGTCACTTATCTTCCCGAGTCTTCTTGGTCTTTTGGACAACAAAATGTCATCTGAATGACATTTCCAAAGGCTTGGAACGTGATCTACTCGATCAGTGGTAATGACCCACGGCAGCACAGTTAGGCGGAAAAATTTAGAAGGAACTAAATAATTCAGCAGATGGCAGAGGAAATATCTTACATCTTACAACAACCTACATAGTGCAGGAAGTGTCAAAATATTAAATCAAAATATAGCATCGTTTATAATGAACTTATTTATAAATCAAATTGCTATACTTCGTTCCAATAGCTTGCTCTATGTTGACCTGCTTCATTAAAAATAATTTGACTCGTTTATGATATTAATATTGACTCACCAACAACTGACGAAGTAAATATAATCGTTCCACCTTTGCCGCCGTTGTTGAGACCCATGAACTCCAGTGCAATCATCGTACATTGTAGCTGGGCCTCCTAAACAAAAATGAGATATATTTTGCTATTTTAACAATAGTTCCACCTTTCCCCCATTGTTGCGACCCATGAACTCCAGTGCAATCATCGTACATTGTATCTGGGCCTTCTTACCAAGGATAGTGTTGCAATATCAATTAACATTTAAGTTTTCAAAGGAACAGTTATTTATTCATATTATATTAACATATGACTCGATTACAGATGTAATTGCAGAGTTCTCAGAGTACATTAAAGTTTGTATGATTCATGGAGTAATTCAGTGTGTAACTGGATTATTTTCAAAGATGGATGGAGGTTGAGTAAAAACAGAAACGTCAGAAATTAAAACCTAAAAAGTTTTAAGCATTTTGTTCCTTCCATTTGAGACTTTTGCTTAGATATTCATCGAAAAATTATGTTGTATAACCTACCAGGTTGACCGCAATAACTCGGGAAATGTTAATCTCATCCATAATGCCAGCGTTGTTCACCATGATTGTGACGTCACCAAACGTTTCTGTTGTAGCCTTCATTAAATCTAATAAACGAATTATAAACTACACAAAAACATACATGAATCTTCAAGAATACTGAATACGTAAAAGTTATCAGACACTAAGACAACTGCAACTGTGAATACAATGCATGGAAAACAAACGTCAGGGATCTTACTTGGGACGAATGGGATCAGTAATGAGCTAGACTGAGACCATAAATTATAAAAGTGCTTTCGAATGCCCTTTTAGACGCTTGTTAAAATACTTATCTTACTGAAAAAAAATGTTTTACCCATTCGATTCCCCCTATAATTTTGCCTATTAGAAATGTAGAGTCATATAGCGTCATTACTGTTTCATTATTCATTAGTTATAAGGTTCTTTAGTTATAAGTTTCTATTATATAACATTTCAAATAAAGTGCCCAATCGACAAACGTATATATATTGTAACAACGGATACAAATACAAAAACAAACATTTGTCAATGGACCAATAACTAGTGTCAGTGGCTTGATTGTGTAATAGATAAACAATGAGTCTTCGGGATTAGAAAAAATGGCGAAGGGGCGACTTAAACCATACAATGGATACTGACTGTTATCAAAGGTAAATGGTCCATGATTCAATTTTAGGAAATATTGATTTATTTTGTATTAACTATGAGGTAAGTGTATTGAGAAGTGAGTGGATGTAATTAGTTAAGCTTCAGTGCACTACATTTAACAGGGCAGGTAAAGTTTTAACATAGTTTATTTTGTGTTTACTATTCAACTATTGAAAGAGTGAATAAGTTATAATTAGTAAAGCTTTAGGACACTGCATGATCCGGTCAATCATAGTTTGTGCCACACTGGTTTTGAATAGCTTATGCCAAGTGTACATTCTTAAAAAGCAATATAAAAAGAATGCACTCCTCTTTGCTATAGCTGGATATTTTTAAAAATAAAACACAGGTCATTGTTGCTACATTAGTGTGGTTTTATATGAAATAAATCATATTGGAAAGATGATTCAATATGCTAAATTATTATATTTTAAGCAAAGCAATACTCCTATTTTTGTATTTTCTAGAGCATTAGAAACAAAGTAACGATCAATATTTTATGAATTTCAATTTTAAAGGCATCAAGTTCCAACTATCATAACTTTAGCCCTCTACCTCCAATCACCTTGGTTTTACGCCAAATAGTGTCGTATAACTGTGGTTCAAGCTAATAAAATAAGGGAGACGCAAAATAATTGCAAAAACTCGAGAGAGGGTGGGGGTTTGATTGACCCCCCTGCAGGCATTGGAGTTAGGCATTGTTCATTTCACGTTAAAATATAGTTTTTGAAAGTTGGGTTTGTTTTCCTAATAACTGTAGGAAGAATAACTTACTTTTAACCTCATCATTACTTGTTATGTCACATTGCTGAAAGTTGGCGTTGTTCCCATACGCATCCACAAGTTCTTTAACTGTTTTTTCGCCTTGTAATTTGTTCACATCAGCAATGCACACCTGGTGTTGTAATACAAATATTGAACATTTTGTGGCTAACTGCAATGTCTCCTACGCGGACATTGTCACTCCGTATATAATGCATCAAAATATTAAAATGGCTAATATTGCATTTACAGCTTCAGGAATGTTAACCAAGACGTGAACCTAGAAGTCAATGATTAAATTTAATGCTAGCACTTTGAGTAACATGGAATACTAATACACAATGTGATATGCAAATCTCACGAAATTCGAGAATTAGCGAGATAACAAAGCTGTTTCCAAACAATTTCCCACGCAGTGTCTCGGAATAGACACTGCGGCGAGCAGATGAAAAAATTACCAACATTTGGAGAAGATAGTCCCCGTTTTCATCACAGATGTACTCAATTTTCACACAACTTATAAAATATATATTCTTTTACGTTCCCCAATCATTATTTTGTTGAAATGTTTCGAAAACCATGAAATATAAGAATAAATAAGACAAAGGGGTTGAAATAGTCCCGCCCCCTGCGTCTTAGCATTCTGATACTCATAGCATCTTTCTGTTTCACCTGAAACATGCTCTGATATTATGAGGCATATTCTGTGATCTGAGCACATCAGATGGGAAGAGTTATAACTGTAAATAAGTGTGATAGTTATCATGTAATCATTTACCTAATGTCAATACATTACATAATAGGCATTGCATGTAACAGCATATATTAGCACAGGCACATGTACACAGGTTTAATGACCCCAATGAAATATGAGCTGGAATGAAAGATCTCAAAATCCCCAATTTTGGGCTCTCCTGGATTGCCAAATCAAGCTCATTATATCATGGCATCTCAGGGCTGAGAAGAAATGAGATGTCATGGTTTATCATGATGGCGTCTTAGCGTTATAAAAAGGTTTGCAGATCATTAGTAAATAAAACATGTATGTTTCGCATGAACTTACTTTGGCTCCTAGCATCAGTAAATACTTGGATATTGCTTTTCCAATCCCCTGGGCTCCTCCAGTTACAATGGCAATTTTCATAGTCGAAACTTGATGAGACACAGTTGGTCCAATTCGAAGTGATAAAAAGTATGCTATTTCAAAGACAGACACTCCCCTCCAAAGAATGGTAACACTGACTCGTTTTTTGTTAGCAATTCTAAGTCAATTTATGTTAAGTTTTTGAAGTTTCTTCATTTAAAATATATGATAATGTGAATAGTTATGCTATCTCTGTTTAATTAATTAATTAGTCGTCAAAATAATTAGACAATGGGAAGTATCATATTCTGAGCCCGATATGCTAAAAACCTACATATCAACGTCAAAGAAGGACGGAAAGTATCGCAACATATTTCGGACTGTCATATATGTTGGATTTCGGCTATTTTCTTGGGATTTAAATAGGTGCATATGCACGGTGTATAACCCAAACGCTCCTACATGCACGACGGAGCGTTTCATTACTGAAATTAAACAAAGAAACGCTCCGGAGTAGGAAAGCTGGCTGGCGGGAACGATGAGCCGTCTGACGATTTCCCCAATAATGGGAATAAGAGGTATGAGTTACATATTTCGAGCATACCATTCGATGGGTGTGATATTCATGTTGTACTTGGCTGGCTGTTGACGTTTGAAGCAATTAGGAAGAGCTGTACGGAGCAGTATAGTTATCAAAATTCAAAAACGCATTTGTCATTCTACCGGTCAAAACCCCTTTTGTCGATACATGTGATTAGTTGAGCCAAGATTAGAGCATCAACGTATATTTTAGTCAAATTCCAATGCTTCAACGCACCATACATTATCGTAATAGTAATTTGTTGACAGAAAATCCAGTCTTAAATATTATGACATTCTCATATTCTAATATAGGCTTAAATCAGCTAGTTCCAGGTTAATATGTTTCAATTTGCCTAACAAGTACAACACGTTTTTGAGAGATAGATTTGATTCGGAACTTTTCTCTAATAATCTGAAAATGATATCAAAACAAAATGGTATGAGCGTTTCTAAAATTGTGTTCTAAATCGACGGAGCGTTTCGAGGAAAACAAGCGATTTCTCGAGAACAAGTAATGGATTTGGACTGGGGTTTTAGGAAATGAGAATATACGAGTTTGTGATCTACTACTTTAACAGAAAGATTAACGTTTTCATAGAAATACAAGTTTAATTCGTAATTTGTGGTCAAATCGTCATCTTCAGATTCGTTCGATCTACACTACGGAGCTTTGATCAAGCAAATAACAGTTTACCACCAGAAGTTGAATAAATAAGATCTTTGATCACGGTATTGTTCATCGAATGGTACATAATATTTCACCATAACATATGATATGTAAGAGAAACGAGAGAAACAATACTTACGGTCATAGTGGAATCTTCATGAGCCGCCATTTACATTTGCTCCGGAGCGTTTCCGCGTAAATGAAACGCTCCGTCATGCATGTAGGAGCGTTTGGGTTATACACCGTGATATGTTAGACCAATGCATCACATCAATGAAAGGAACTCAAAGAGTTGATAAAATAATTTCGAGTTTGAGACAGGGAGGATGCAAACAGCCCACCTACATGTTTTTCTGAAATACGGTCTCGATTTTCAATCCCTTCAACCCCTGCATTTTCAATTATTGTTGCTTCAATATGTTCCGTTTTTACACACAGTTAACCCCTTTAAAGGAATCAGTAATTCCTTTAAGATAAAGTGAAAAACAATAGTTTCCATCAGAAACAAGTCAAATTCTTTACTAATTCTAATATCCCTTAGTCTTTTTCAAAATATAACAGCATGTATACATTTATGTGACGTCATAAACAGACAATGGAAAATTTAATTATGTAACAAATGACCTAGTAACCTAAAAAATAACAACAACAAAAAAACATAGATACGAAAAAACGAATGACCTAATAATAACCTTAAGATAAATATATCATCGTTATGGTAACAATTAAACTCAAATATTACTATTGCATACTTTGCTATACCATTCTTAATTTACAATATTTTATGATACAAATTGTCCAACTGATACCCATTATCTCTGTTCATTTTAGGTTGCATTGTTTTAATATGAATTGCTTCCTTAACCCTACGTTTAAGATCATGACTCTCATTATCAATGATAAAAATATTCTCTGAAGTAAAGAATTTGACTTGTTTCTGATATATTAAAGATGTCATTTTAAAAGCAAAAAAGGCTCCAAAACGTAATAAAATATGTAGTTTGGATGTTTATTTATGTCTGTGGATTATATTTTATACCACAAACACTTATAAATACCTGAAATTTGCAATAAAAGTGCCCAAAAATTGTTGTTTCGAAATTCCCCATTTTTCCTGTATCGCGCTAGTCACGTGACCCTTACGCGTAGCAGGCAATTCAATGCCTAGTATTACAGATATTACAGTACATATTTCAACATGTTCAATATGGCAAACATCAGCGATTCTGACTCCCGGGTTCTGGGAAATGGCTATATATAAATCGGCGAGAGGGTGTTATTTAAGGAGGACAATTTAAGGAGGGGAAATATGTCCAAGTATGCCAGTAAAAGAGCAGATATGGACTTTAGACAAGTACTATGACGGAGAATCAACTAAAAAAATGTGCGTTCTGGAATGAAGACCCGTTGCCATTGACTGAGAATCCCAGCGATCTCAGTTTGAATTTAGACGCGGAAAACAGGTCATGAAAACGGGCTCTCTGCAAAGTTATCAAATTTAGAAAATATGGATCTTGTTTTTGAGTGGCTTAACAAGCATTCGGATACAAGACTTGGCGCTATCTCTTGTCAAATACACGCAGACTTGCAGTAAATTGGCCATTGCAAATTGCAAAATCAGATCGTCAAATTAATCGCTTCGTTTTTAAACGTATGCTTCATATCTTCATCCAAAACTATAGGATTCGATAGAGATAAGTTAAAACTTGTACAGGAAGAAATGGGAGATCCTACCTTAATTTAGAATCGCTGATTTCTCTGGACAAATTCCGAGAAGAAATTGTTCAACATCGCGATCAGCTTAGACTAAACTTACATGTCGTGCATGTCACTCTGAACTCACGTGATAAAATACGGCATTTTGATTGGTTACTACTCGTGTTGTCATGACGCGAAAAACAATAGTAAACACTGAATATGTTAATGAACTGTCATATATGGAGCAATTGTCTTTCTGATTGGTTAACTTTACACGCCTCCTAAATGAATATAGTAGTCGTAGTAAATGATTCATTGATAACTCTGAAAGTGGGCGTGACCAGCTTTATTTTGACACCAAATTCAAGATGTTTCAAATAAAAATGGCCTCGCAAGACGAGGTTGAAATATCGGCAGTTTGATACTGATATGGTCTACGATAGATCAAAATTGACTGCCCCGCGTCATATGTCACGTGAGCCTATATTTGTTGAAAAATGAAAGAGATAGTGACACTTTTTAATCTTAAGTTAATACCAATATTACAAACACATATCTATTTTTTTCATTAAATATTTATTTCTTCATTATACATACATTTGTTTTACACTGCATTGATTTATTTTTGCAAAACCTTTGCTATTAGATCTTTAACCAGAGAGATGAACTTACATAGAAATAGTTTCCATGTTATTTTCCCGTAGGGAAAACTCATGCGATCCATTGCTTTCAGCATAATTTTGGTCTCCCATCATGGGTATCTTTAAAACTCCCGAATGAATTACTGAATCATTTAAGGGGTTAACTTTGTGTCAAAAACGCGACATATCGATGCAACAAAAATTGAAAAACCAGGGATGGAAGGGTCTGAAAGGACAACATTTCAGAAAACCATTTGAGTGGGTTGTTTGCATCGTCCCTGTCTCAAAGTCGAAAATATTTTATCATCTCTATGAGTGCTTTTCCTGGAGGTAATGCATTGGCCTAACATATTCACCTGTTCAAATATTCAGGAACTATTACAATATTTTACTTGTTCAAGGTGGTGAGATAAAAAAAGAGTTTGGAGTTTCAATCTTTTCAAGGGGAGGGTCAATTACTATATCTAGTTTCGGAGCTGTTTATATATCATCTTACATAATATTTTACAATCTTCAAGTTGATTGTACTTTGAATATATTTTGTCAGAAGGTCGATTTGACCTTCGCCTGCTTGTATGACAGTTGTTAGTATTGAGTTACAGATATATTCAACTCAAAATATAATATGTATTGTGAGCCGCTTTCCTGCCAACGTTTTACATAACGATGGGCGTTGAAGAGCCGAGGTTGGTGAACACATAACCAAGAAAGTAATTATAAATATCTCATAAAAAAGTATATTTCTAACTTCGAACACAATGTTCTGAACATTCAACAAGACTTGCCAATTTTTGCTCTTCCGTAAAAAGCAAACAACCGTACACTATACTCCGGTTAAAACTTCAGTAAACTTCCGGCTAGTATTTCTACTAAAATCTCCCGCAATTTAAATTTTTTAATGGAAATGGCCGTAAAATCTAACGTTTTGCTGAAATCTCTAGAAAAGTCTACCCTGTTTTCGCTAAAATCGACAATATTCTTTAAAGAAACATGACAAATATGTGACCTTGATTATCATGAATCACACTTTTTTCGTATATACTTTGACGAAAAATACCAGACTAACGGTTCAATGAAAATCCGAGTGAGGACAGGAATATAATATATGATACTGTGTAATTTACGCAGGCAATAGTTACATTTTATAATTTATCTGGCTGAATCTGTCTTAAACACAATTGACATACTATGGGATGACCATGTACATGTAAACAATTATGATTAACCATATAGTTTCTTTACGAATAAATCAAGGTTTAACATTTTGTTAACATTGCATCAATAGAGATTTGGTCAACGGTTTTGAAAAAAGCTGAAAAAGTACCGGACGATTATTTACATGACAAAATTGTATCAATCAAAGTTTGTATTGTATAAAGTTGTTCACTGAATTCATTACTCCTATAAAAAGGAAGGAAATGCAATTTACTATAGATTAAGTATGCAAATCTCCAAAAGTCTCATGAAAAAACGAGAATAAACAAGATTACAAAGCTATATAACCTCTCTCATCTTATTAAAACTTTTTATATATGAATGCTCTAGTAAGTGGTATGCACATCTCTGAAATTCTCACGAAAACGAGAATTTGCGAGATTTTTAATATGGTGCTCTACTAAATCACATAACCTTGTCCTCGAGTGTCTACTGAGAAATACCGACAGGTTGAGTTAAATTCAATGTTGGTAATGTTCTACATAAAATCTGATGAGTTCTAAATAGTATTGTTCTTGTAAGACGTTCCAAAAAGAGAGTGGTGAACATAATAGTGAGTAATAAAACAAATATTTCATAATTTTGAGGTGAATACCTGTTCATCCTTAGCGCAAAAGTACTCTTAAAAAAAATCGACATTAGGGTTAAAGATAAAAAAGGTTGGATCGACCATGTTGCGTCACGCGTTCTGTTGATTTCAATTGAATTTACGATACCTACTATCTTTGAAAATGCCTTAGTTAAATTCTATAAGTACACTCTGTTAAAATGATTATGTGAATCGATTTTTGTGGCCAATATAAAGGGCGCGCCTTTCCAAAATTCCGACTAAATGAGGCCGAATATATGTCACTATTTATGTAAACTGATTTTTTGTCCACCCGTGTACGCGATTACTCAAATATTAGATGAATTTTGTTCAAATTAGACTGGACTATGTGTGTAGGATCTCTATTCGAGAAAAAAATTCAATTCGGCAACTCAATATAATGACCACAATTCTTCTCAAAGATTTATTATTTTATAAGGCACATACACGTTGACAGCTTCGCCGATTCATTATCCAAACAACTCATGCTCTTTTTACAATGGGAAGTTTTTTTCGCCGTGAGACATTTTTGAGTTATACTTTAAACGCGACTCAGACGTTGTGTCTTACTAGGGTAAGCCCTTCAATCTTATTTTTCACAATTCTTCATTTTTATTGTAGTTCCTTTTTTCAATTTACACATTCAAAGAACACTTTGATTTGTTCAAAATCATTGTAAGTCCAACACTGGCGGATCTACAAATATTGTTTTGCCCTCAAGAACAACAAGAGATTTGCCATTTAACGAATCATCTTCTATTAGTTTAACCACCGACTCAGCGACATCAGATGGCCTGAAAACAACGACACACATATATGTCAATTAATTGAAAATTAATTGGTTTTATGTGTGTTTTATGGAAGTAGTTAATTGTTGTTACGATAGTCAGAATTTGATGTAAACAAATCGGTTACTAGAAAACAGAGTTGAATGTAGGTCAACGCACATGCGCAGAAGAACGCCATTTTCCATTCATTTCTTGATACAAGGAAAAAGCAGGTTATTATCTGAGTGAATCTCGCCCGCCATCCCTCCCCCATTTACCACCCATGAATTATCCCCCAACTAAGGTGAGATCAAGAAAATGGTAAGATAGTTATTGGTAGTGGTACATGAAGGTAAGCAACCAAAGTAATCACAATGGTATTGATCAGATGTACTATTCTATTTTTAGCTAATTAGAAAAAATAAACAAAAAATGTGTAACAATAAAAACTACTCCCTAAGAAACCCACATAAACCAAAAAGACAAATATATAGTACAGTACATCTTAATATTCGGTGGATGTAAATCTGGGTCCATATAAATACCATGTCGATGATTTCTTTATCGTTCAAATGATTGAAAACTTACTTGAGGATAACACTGTGTGCCGTTTTCATTCCTTTCAAAAGTTGGTCAAGAACAACTGGGTCTCCCACTACTTTACGTAAGTTTTCCTCGCGAGAGAGGTTTGTATCTACACTTATGGGACACACTGCGTTGAATCTCACACCCCAATCCTCTATCCTTGGACTTATCTTGAACATTAATTATATTTTTATACGTACACGTGTATTTGAAACAGAGCTGTCACTTTTCTTTATATATATTAAATTATGCATGTATTTGTATACATCTAATCCGTCTTTTGCACTTAAGATAAAATAGATTTTGAATAGTGGTTCAACTAATTCTGTGTGTAGAATCACATGTAACTGTCTACGATGAACAAAACTTTGTGTAAAATGATAGGGTGGCAATGCTACATATATGATTTTTGAGCGGGTGTATAAATATAAAACACCCTGTATAAATATTTGCTAGTTTGTAAATTACATGCATATTTAGATGGGGAAATGACTAAAAAAAGTTTTGAAGTGGAAATATCTTGGTGGACGGGGGATACATGAAACAATTTTCTACAAAACTAATAAATATTGTTTTGCAGACATCTGGCAGATGTGTTCAGGACATGTCAAAACGTTCAATGAAGACCACCAGTATCCAAAAATCTGTTTTTATTCCAAGTATTTGGATCAAAAGTCGTGTCGCAGACAGTTGTGAAAAGCAATATATCGAATCATTGTATCTCAGTCAATAGTTACCCTACAACAAGGCTTGTGTATTCAATAATTTATGATCTATTTATTATATAAACGAAAGAAAATAGAACCAGCTTATCAGACCAGACCCCTTTGCCCGCATAGAGTTGAGTACATTTATTTTCTGTCCTTGAGGTCGATTCATATTTTTCGAACTTATTGTACATGGTTGTCCAGTCATATATGATGTAAAAGGGCTTTACAAGAGCCACTTCAACCTTAACTATTAGTTCGCTTATGTCACTTACCGCCATACTACGAACGAAGCCTACGAGTCCATGTTTTACTGCTGCGTACACTGGCATGACACCTATTGGTACAATACCTATAATATAAAACATCAAAGACAAATAATGTGTGTATAGCTGTAACATTTCTATTGTTTACCAGATTTTCTGGCCTAATTATTATAATCACCTTATTTTAAACAAAGCAAAATTTTAAATCAGATTTAATATCGATTTAAAAGGTATATGTAGTTATAAATATAGCCCAAATTATGAGCTATTAAATGCACTCTCTATTATAAACAGGATGCCAATCGTTATTGAAAATACTCCAAGAGTAACATTTTTATATACAATAGCTCCCCATAATCTGAAGATAATTTGGAATCTCCGTCAACTTACCAGCAGCAGACGCATTGAACACAATAGTTCCACCTTTCCCACCATTGTTGCGACCCATGAATTCCAGTGCAATCATCGTGCATCGTATCTGGGCCTCCTTACCAAGAAAAGTGTGGAAATATCAAAAACATTTTCGCAAAGAACGAACGAACGCGTGACTCAATAAATCTATGGGAAATTTAGTAGTAGAGCTCATGGTACATTTAATGTCCGAGTGCATTAAATCATCCAAAAATCATAATAATTTTATAATATTACTTAAACTCACGGGAAAAAATTAAATCTCACTTCTGCTCATTTAACATTCATAGTGTACTCAAAAGAATGTTTGTTGCTATTGTATTCAATTTTGCAATGTTGCAGCTACATTTGCTAAATTTCAATTTTTCAAAATTTTGCAGCTATTAGTTATCGCAGATTTGTTATTTAAATTCCAAGGGAAGTGATAATTATATTCTACACATTAGAACTATTGAAATATAGTAGCATGCGAAAATTACCGGGAGTACAGTTTGGAATACGTCCTAATGGTTGAATATGGTTTACTAAAGTGTAGTAAACAAGGTTTACCCATGTAAACATCAATTTTAAGTACGGGTTCATTCAACTGATATTACGTAAGATTAAGTCAAACTTACAAATAACAATTACATATTCAAAATAAACATTTACGAGGGTATATCATAAAGTTCTCATAATATCTTTCTAGTTTTTTTTATTTTTCAATATATTCTAATGACATTTTCATAGAATCTGCAGTATAGAACACTGTATTAATCTATCAAAAAATATAGTATAACAGATATATTAAATAAGTAATGGTTGTCATAGTAAGTGGAAATCAAGGCACCCGTGGCAAATAAAATTAATTGAGAGAATGAGCTTAATTAACCTTGTTTACATACATAATAAACTCTCATAAATTACCAAACATATTAAAATGTTAACTTGAATGTGTTGTTAAATGCCTTTACTATAAAATAAATTGATCACGTGGATTGTATGGTGTCATAGAGGATGCTTACATGCCTCATTAGATGTGATACCAGACTCTGAGAATCAAAGCTTAATGATCAGAAATGACTGAGTTAGATAATGCATATATGCAGGGATCATCAGAAAAATAATATTCACACTGATAAAACGTTTAATTTAGTTCGAACAATCCTTTGCTTATACTAAAGATGATCTAAAACAAATATGGTGCAAAGATGTCAACATAATTACGCCATATAGTGGTCTATTATTTATTTAAGATGAACTAAAGTGGAAAATAGACTTTCCTTGGAATATCTGACAAAACAGTTGCAGTGTCTAACATCACTTCTAATGAAGCATTACTTACAATCATCCATTATGAGGTCACATAATTCACACGACCATTATAATCGCTTAAAACAGTCAAGAACAAATGGTATTTAACAATTTGATGTGTTTCATAGCTTATTTGATAACTTATCATGCATTTTAACATGGTTAGTTGGGGCTATTCCTGTACGTTTTTTTATTTGCCCCAGGTGCCTTGATTTCCGGTTACTATGGCAACCATTTCTTAAATAATATTTTTGTTATACCAAATATTTTTTGATAGATTAATACAGCATTCCATACTACACATTCTGTGAAAAATTCATCAGAATATATTGAAAAAAAAAGAAATGAGAGAGATATTATGAGAACTTTATGATATACCCTCGTATCTTGTAATCCCCAACAGAAATATTATGTTGTGTGACTTACTAGGTCAACTGCAATCGTCCGAGAAAAGTTTATCTCATCTAAAATGCCAGCGTTGTTTACCGTAATTGTGACGTCACCAAACGTGTCTGTTGTGGCCTTAAATGCATCTATAATAAGGTAAAAAGCATGGTAAGATGCAGACAACTCAAACAAATGATTAACACGTCTTTGCCATTATCTTGTTAGTATGTGACAATATGATTTAAGTAAGAATATTGGGGATTTTCATACAGTGGTGAAGTAATACAAACTATATCTGCATATTGACAGAACAGTATACTTACCGGGTACGCCATATTTTTCGTTCTGTTATATATTTTAATGATGCGTATATTTTGAAAACTATTTTGAATAGAGATGCAGGAACCACCACGCTGTTGTCCTAAATAATCTAATAAATAACATTTAAGAAAAAATGTGTTCACCATTTCAATTTTCCCGTTATTTTGTATTTCAGTTCAGATTCTGTTAATGTTGAATCAGTTTTATTAATCGCACCTTTCTTACTGCTTTTAACTTAAATCGTATATATAAATTGCTAGTGTAAAGAACCATGTATATCGTGATGCAATATGTGTCTCTCCGATTAGATTATAATATGCATATCTGAACCAATAAATACATGTGACATAACTTACATTACCGTAAAACTTAAATTTCAAATATTACAACTTTAAACATTACCGATTCAAATACTGCTTCAGATAGAATGATCCCATTTCTAATAACATGCAAAATCATAATTGACTGCTGATCTACTCAATTACGCTGGTCAAGCTTATTTCTACTCGTATCTAGTATAATCGAACGATATTTTTATCACAAACGTACTGAGTTTCATATTTCTAAGAAAATGCACATGTTTTTTACCGTGTGAAGGGTGTCCCGGAAGTATGGGAACCCCATCCCCCTAGGCAGACATATACCAAAGGCGCCATAGTATGTGTCATATATCATTTTAAAGCATATCAAAAGTTACATTGATTTGGGCATATATTGAATGGTATTAGACTGAACTTTCAGCAACGATGTCTCAAACAGAGAAAATTTGAAAATTTCTCATGACGCACAAAGTATACAGATCATGACCACGATGAGCCAAAAATAGTTCTACATTACATATTTATCTTTATCATGTTCACAAATAATCATTTTACCATTATCTGAATATTTCTGGAATGAAATGCAATAATAAAAAAATTGAATGAATAGAAAATGTTTTAATCTTTATTGGCCCACCCTGTAATGTAACTTTAGACAAGCCTTAAAATGATATATGACACATACTATGGAAACATTGGTACATGTCTGCATATGGCGATCCCATACTTTCGAGACACTCTGTTTAATCAATAAGTTAGGCAGTGTAAGGAAGAATAACATACTTCTGACGTCATCATCTTTTGTGACGTCACATTGCTGAAAGATGACGCTGTTTCCATACGCATCCACAAGTTCTTTAACTGTTTTATCGCCTTCTACATTGTTCACATCAGCAATGCACACCTGATGTAGTAATACGAACATACGTTAACACAATGTGAAATATTACGTATGATGCTGTATTTATGTATGCCCGCGTTGCTTGTGAATTGCGTTTTATTTTAATGAGCTTTCTCTCCAGGTATCACTTGAAGAACAATAATTCCTATGCAGTGCAAATTACATGCTCATGAGATTTTAACAAAAATACCTTATCCAAGCGCACCTTCACTGACATAATAATCACCCTACTATACCCTGCATTTGGTGTTCATAAGCAACCCTTTGGCTTATTAGTAATGATTATGTTATTTGTTTTTATGTGTCTGTTTCCTTATGAATGGTTTATCGGATGACTGTTACATGTTAATAAGGTACTTTCAAAAATATACTAAACAATACAATTAGACAAACAGATCAGAGTATCTTATGCATTTCTAGGGGTTAGGTATAGTAGAGTGAATTATCTTGCACGGTTTATTGCAATCGAAGTCATGTAGTGCACTAGCAACGAGCAGACACAGTTGACACACGAGGCCTAATTATCGGAAACATATGATTTTGCATTTCAAGTCCATGGCCTTAAATCTTTAAATCACAAGGCACTAGGAATGCTAACACTAAAAGTCATGTACTTCTAACTAAGTGATTAGAAGTTCATGTTTTTAAATTCATGTTTAGTCATTCAAGTCATTCACACATACATTATGAACTTACTTTGGCTCCTAGCGTCAGTAAAGACTTGGATATTGCTTTCCCAATCCCTTGGGCTCCTCCAGTAACAATGACAACACTTCCTTCAATTTTCATTGCACGGTGACACACAATTGACCTTGTTTAAATTAGTAAAATGTATGTAGACTCAAACACTCCTCTCAAACTTTTGGTAACACCAACCGACCTTTGGTTAATTAGTAAAAGTATCTATATGCTTAGTTTTTTAATACATTTTCCAGTAGTTAAGATCTTAATACAAAGATAAGTATCCTTTCATACCCTGATCTGATAAACTGTACTTTTAATACCCAATGCATTGATTAAATTGCTTATCCAAAGGTCATTTAACAACTCAACTGTCCCACTTCCACATACATGTATTCCGTCTAAATGCGACAGTAGCCGAGGAAAATCATAAGGCAATGTCAGGAAACCTTCTCTTGAAAAAGTTCTTTGAGAATTTTAAATGTTATATTCAAAGCAATGTGTAAAAATGATTAAACTGGGAATGGGGTTTACACTATTTTGGAATAGAGTGTTTGTAGACCTTGTTTTGTTTATTCACCCTATCATTTGGCACGAGTATACCGTCTTATCAAATGTCAAGTGAGACTTGATTTATGAATACCCTAGAACATTTTGCATGCTTGTACTACAATTTGTTTGTATTTATTAGATCTACTAAATTACAGTATAACACTTATGTTGAACGATTTTCTAGCCGAAGGTTACTAACCAATAATGAAGGAATTTGTACAAAATTATTCACTAAAATATTTTACCCATAATGTTAACAGTAGCACCAGGTTACTGTAACAAATATATATATCAAATATATCAAATAGCTCCAAGGATCAAGTTAAATGCTGACCTATGAATTTCATAGGCTTAAGGAAGAATAACATACTCCTGACGTCATCATCTTTTGTGACGTCACATTGCTGAAAGAATACGCTTTCTGGTTCCGCAGAAATTGAATTATGAAATAGAATGACTTTTAAAAATTCACACATCCCTGAGCATGTGGGTCAAGTTTAATTAAACTTTAGAACTAGTGATTTACTTTTTGCAATAAAGCCTAGAAAGTATTGCTTTATTGCATGACATTGGCATGTTATGTCTAACTAGAAATCGGCAACTCCATGGAGTAGCAAATCCCAAACGAACATTACGAAATTCCTGCTCCAGGCAGCCATTTTGAAAATCTGAAGCAAGAATCAGAAAAATACAATAATTGTGATCTATTCTGAAATTCCTTCGATTTGAATATAATATAGCCATAATTTGATGAGATCCGAAATGATATCCAAATCCCACATTAGGCGGCCACTTTTAATTTTATGAAGCCTGAGTCAGAACAACAATACACTATTTGCAATCTATTCTGAATTACCCATGTTTTGAGTATAGTAAAGCTATACTTCAGAAAATGTAAAAACATGGAATATATGTAAATTAGATTGATGCTGACAGTAAACTACATCCCAACGATAATATTTTTACTACTTTTATTTTAATTGAAAAAAATTATTTTTTTGCGAAAATATATTCCAACCAATTGTAAAGCGGCTGCTATCTTGAAAAAAGTTTGCGTAAAACTATTCATCTTTCACCAAATATGAAAATTGACAGACGGACTTACGGACGGGCGTAGTGTTTCATTACACCCCTACCATTGGGATAATAAGCTGGGATAGATAGTAATTACTAGTTATATACTTTTTTATATCCAACTCTCCAGGGTATACATTATTTACAGAATCTTTACTTTAAGGTTTTCCCATATGTCTTATCGGATAACAAATAAAATTAAGTTTTATCTCTCAGCATCCTTTGTAAAAAAAGTATATTTGTAAGAGAATAGAAAAACGTCTACTAAAAGAGGAGCATTATCTGCCCCCATTGGCAATTCCTAAATTTTGTCGTGTAACTGTCTTCCCAAGCGTTACAAAAATATGATCACTCAAAACTTGAAAGAAAAGTTCTTATCATGTCGATCATTAGAGAAGAAAGCTCTATTGGGATTACCATTTACACATTAAGACTAACAAAATCATTTTATCAGAGTCACAATATTTCCTCTTTTAATTTGTTTTGAGCGATTGAAGTAGAAAATGAAGAAAGGTCCCATAAAAAGATGCATTTAACTTTTGGATGAGTTGGGTCAATACGTTTATATAAAAGGTGTTTAGAATCTTAAAAATAACATTGCAATAGGACTCTATTTTTAGCAGCTTCAACACACCTATTTTATAATCGTTAATTTTTTAGGAGAACAACATCAAGAACCGGCAATAAATTTCGCTTCATAAGGGTCTTAAATGTAATTTAAATGTTCATTCATTTTTAAGCAGATGCTCCTGTTTTTCTGTTCGTAAAATCTTCTGCTGTTGAACCATGTAACACGAAAAACAAAAGATGGTGACAGGTATTAGTAGGCATTGCAATCACATAGGTTTAACGTTTGACACTGATACAATCGTGCATGTTGTAATCTAGAGACCTTTTTATTGAAATATTTGGGAATCGGTCACTTTGAATAAGAATTCGAAGAATGTGAAAATTGTTATGTTGCATTGTTTAAATAAAGTGGTTTAAATTTTTTCGACCTCAAGATCTGGTCAACAAAAATTCTAGAGCACGTTAGTTTACATCAGATTACTGTGTGCGTTGGTATATATTCTCATTATGCTTTTTAGAACAAGAACATTGGTTCCGACCGTTTCTGGCATATGAGGAGCAAAACCGAGCAAAATAATGTTCTCGATTGGCCTAGTGGGCCTAGTCTGCAACCGCAAATGGACTACAACACATGGACTTCAACATTTGGACTACAACACGAGGACTACCAGATATGGACTACAACACATGAACTTCAACATTTGGACTACAACACAAGGACTACCAGATATGGACTACAACACATGAACTTCAACATTTGGACTACAACACAAGGACTACCAGATATGGACTACAACACATGAACTTCAACATTTGGACTACAACACAAGGACTACCAGATATGGACTACAGCACATGAACTTAAACATTTGGACTACAACACAAGGACTACCAGATATGGACTACAACACATGAACTTCAACATTTGGACTACAACACAAGGACTACCAGATATGGACTACAGCACATGAACTTCAACATTTGGACTACAACACAAGGACTACCAGATATGGACTACAACACATGAACTTCAACATTTGGACTACAACACAAGGACTACCAGATATGGACTACAACACATGAACTTCAACATTTGGACTACAACACAAGGACTACCAGATATGGACTACAACACATGAACTTCAACATTTGGACTACAACACGAGGACTACCAGATATGGACTACAGCACATGAACTTCAACATTTGGACTACAACACGAGGACTACCAGATATGGACTACAACACATGAACTTCAACATTTGGACTACAACACGAGGACAACCACATATGGACTACCACATATTGATTGCCACACACATGGACCTAGACTTCCACACATAGACTACATCACATGGACTTACAAACATGAACTACCACACTTGGACTACCATACAACCTATGGACTACCAGACATGGATTATAACAACTGGACTACAACATATGGACTACAGCACAGGAATACATACATAGACTGCATTATAGTTTTAATAGAGTTACATAAAACGCGACGATTTAATGTAGCGCAACGTCGATATAGAGTGGAATTGATTTTGAAAATATGGCTTCTAACAATCAAAGGCTGGTATCGAAATATTTCTCCGCTGTGACGGAGCATGCTATTTTTCATAAAAACACTAAGAATACTTCACGATTTATTTTTTAACTCATATGTTTCGTTATACCATACACAATTACTTACTCCATGCAATGGATATGTCATTTGCAGGTAACTTTCATTTCTGTTTGAAGTCTAACTACGCTGGGAAGAAAAGTTATTGAAAATGGCGCCGGAGTATCATACTTCAAAATGTACCATTTCTTGTTTAACTTTCTAATGGCACGATATAGCGACACGATAATATTTACACGTGGTTTCAGCATAACTATGAAGGTATAAATGAGATGTTGATGTATTTGTTCTTTTAAATTCTTTTATAAAAAATAATGTTTAATTTTTTTGTCCGCTGTGACAGAGCAGTTGCAAATGTGAACTGTGAAAATGCTCCGTCACAGCGGACAAAAATATTAATATTATTTTTTATAAAATAATTAAAAAGACCCAATGCATTAATATCTCATTAAAACATTCAGATTTATGCTGAAAACATATGTTAATATTATCGTGTCACTATAACATGCCATTTAAAAGTTAAAAAAGGTACATTTTAGAGTTTGATACTCTGGCGCCGTTTTCAATAGATTTTACTCCTAGCGTTATTGGACTTCAAACAGAAGTGAAGGTTACATGCAAATGATATATCCATTGCACGGAGTAAGTAATTATCTTTGATATAACGAAACATATGAGTTAAAAAATAAATCGTGAAGCATTCTTAGTGTTTTTATGAAAAAATAGCATGCTCCGTCACAGCGGACAAATCTTTCGATACCAGCCTGTGACAATATGAAACATTTACTCTTTAAACAGGACCGGGAGTGAAACAAAACAATTACATATCGATCAACTGGTTTAGACAGAATTCCAAACACGTCTGGTAAACACAGATTAAACACAGGAATAATTGTATCATCTGTTGTAATCTTCTTTGAAGAGTGATTGCCTAATTTTGCAATTACTTAAAAATCGATTCAAATTAAGTAAATTATAAGGACCATAATCTTTAACATAACTAATTTTAATTAACTTTCTAGGGATCGAACTCTTAATTACAAATTGTGAATCAAGAATATCCTGTTAGTCCATCTAATTAATTGTTTTATTTTGATAAGATCTGTATGTTTGATAATGTAATGTGCTCGATCAATGGCAGAGTTAAGTTATGCATGCTTTCCTGTAATTCCACAATCTAAGTACACCCTGCACCGTAATGTCTATTGTTACCTTTGTATATTAAGATATTTAATATAAATACTATTTGGACACAATTCAAATCCTTCTTGAAAAATCCGGAAACAATTTAAAAGGTATTTCATGATTCCAGGGTGTATAACCCAAACGCTCCTACATGCACGACGGAGCGTTTCATTTACGCGGAAACGCTCCGTAGCGAAATAAAATGGCGGCTAATGAAGATTCCACAATGACCGTAAGTATTGTTTCTCTCGTTTCTCTTACATATCATATGTTATGGTGAAATATTATGTACCATTCGATGAAAAATACCGTGAGCAAAGATCTTATTTATTCAACTTCTGGTGGTAAACTGTTATTTGCTTGATCAAAGCTCCGTAGTGTAGATCGAACGAATCTGAAGATGACGATTTGACCACAAATTACGAATTAAACTAGTATTTCTATGAAAACGTTAATCTTTCTGTTAAAGTAGTAGATCACAAACTCGTATATTCTCATTTCCTAAAATCCCAGTCCAAATCCATTACTTGTTCTCGAAAAATCGCTTGTTTTCCTCAAAACGCTCCGTCGATTTAGAACACAATTTTAGAAACGCTCTTACCATTTTGTTTTGATATCATTTTCAGATTATTAGAGAAGAGTTCCGAATTGAATCTATCTCTCAAAAACGTGTTGTACTTGTTAGGCAAATTGAAACATCTGAACCTGGTGGTGCTAAACGTGCAACTAGCTGATTTAAGCCTACATTATATGATGTCATGCCTACATGTGTGCTAAATCATAAAACTATAGAAAAAAACTAAAATTTATATGTGAATTAATCTTTCTTCTTTTGATGCCAAGGAGTATAATAGATCTTTTCTTTCTCTTCCTGAAAAGGAAAGGCAAGCTATATATTTCCTAAACTGATCTAGACTACCGGAGCGTTTCCAGTTCACTGTGTTAACCAGATCGGAGCGTTTCTTGAATATGAGAATGTCATCATTTTTCAGACTGGATTTTCGGTCATCAAATCACTATTACGATGATGTATGGTGCGTTGAAGCATTGGAATTTGACTAACATATACGTTGGTTCTCTTATCTTGGCTCAACTAATCACATGTATCGACAAAAAGTGTTTTGACCGGTAGAATGACAAATACGTTTTTGAATTTTGATAACTATACTGCTTCATACAGCTCTTCCTAATTGCTTCAAACGTCAACAGCCAGCCAAGTACAACATGAATATCACACCCATCGAATGGTATACTCGAAATATGGAACTCATACCTTTTATTCCCATTATTGGGGAAATCGTCAGACGGATCATCATTCCCGCCAGCCAGTTTTCTTACTCCGGAGCGTTTCTTTGTTTAATTTCAGTAATGAAACGCCCCGTCGTGCATGTAGGAGCGTTTGGCTTATACACCGTGGATTCGGTCTGATATTTATACGTTGACATTTCAAAATGTTAGATGGAAGCCATTTTGGCATCAAATATCTTAAGGTGTGTAAAGGTTTTATGCTACCTGTTCTAGTTTCACTTTCACTATTGCATGTGGAATGTTGCGCATGCGCCTGTCAATAAAGATGAGTTAACTTCCGCCCAAAAGTATCTCGTTTTGTATTTCTTAACTCCCTGTATTTATCAGTGAAATACATGACAAATGGCGACGAGGACGGTGAATTAATGATATTTACTTCATCATATGAATATAACCAACCTCAATGGTACCGGAAATCGTGATTAGGACACTATAACACGTTTGAATTTGGATATGAAAAGTTCGTAAAATATTTTTGACATTTTTATTTTTCGAAGTGTCAAATCCAGTGTGTTGGATCTTGAACTATTATATATGAACTTATAAACACTACATCAGCAATGGATCGTATATCTACGAATATAGAACACTTCGATGAAAACACGAACTGGACTACTTATGCTGAACGTCTTGAACTGTTCTTTGTGGCAGCTGATATTGAAGTTGGTAAGAAAATTGCCACAGCCTTAACAAAAATTGGCCCAAAAGCTTATGATGTTATCAAAGCCATCGCATACCCCAAGCTTCCCAAGGATTTGTCTTGGGAGGAAATAAAAAATGGACTGGAAGGACATTATAATCCAAGACCACTGTTGATAACACAGCGATTCCGATTTCACAAACGGGATCAGGGCTCGGGCGAATCAATAATGGATTACGTTGCAGCAATCAAACATTTGGCAGATAGAGCTAAGTTTGGAACTTTTCTTGAAGAAGCGCTTCGTGATCGTTTTGTATGCGGCATAAGTGAGAGATCCACACAAAATAAGTTACTTACTGAAAAAGATTTAACATTTAAGCGTGCAGTTGAATTGGCTATAGGCCTAGAAGCAGCCAAAAAGGATATTGCAGAATTTCGTGACACAAAAGAGACAAATCCGTCAATTAGTGTACACAAAGTTGAGCCAATCACAGATAAAAAACCGGTTACAAAGAAATGCTTCCGCTGTAATGGACGTAAACATTCCCCGGAGGAATGCTACTACAAAACCGCGACGTGCCATAAATGTAAAAAAAGTGGGCACTTAGCGAGAGCTTGTATGGGAAGCAAGAAGAAAAGCCACAGCGGAAAGTGACATGAAAAGGCGGTGAAGAATCTACGCGATAAAGCGGAGGAGAGCGAATCGGAATCAGATGAGGATGATTATGGAGTATGTTATATAGGAATACACTCAGTTGGAGATCAATCTGTGGCCCCCATAGTGATAAATCCCCTAATATCACAAAAATGTGTCAAAATGGAATTAGATACAGGCAGTGGTCGTACTGTCATGTCTAATGATCAATTTCAGCAGTTATTTCCAAGTGTTACCCCAAAACCAACAAAAAAATCATTGGTTACCTACACAGCGGAACCGCTTGACACCATAGGAATCGCCAATATGGATGTAACATATAATGGCAAGTCAGCGAGTCTTCCCCTGTATATTGTAAATCATAAGGCACCCGCCTTATTTGGGAGAGATTGGATGGAAAAGCTTATTGGAAAGGATAAATGGGAAAATCAAGTGAAAATTCTCAGTGCATCTAATGCAGAAATCCCCGATAAAGCCCCAAAGCCCAGTGTATCTACCCATACTCCCCATACTGAGTCCCCCACATTAAAAACCCTCCTCAAAACACATGATAATCTATTCAAGGATGAATTAGGATGTATGAAAGGTGTGAAAGCTCATATCCGTGTTGAATCCGGATCCACACCTATATCTCTCAAACATAGAAATTTAGCATATAGTCTCAAACCCAAAGTGGAAACGGAATTGGAACGTATGCAAAAGCAAGGGATTATAAGCCCAATAACCAAATCAGCATGGGCCACACCGATAGTGCCCATACCAAAGAAGGACAATACCGTGCGTATATGTGCTGACTTTAAAGTGACATTGAATAAGTGTTTGGATATGAGTGACAAATATCCAATGCCTACTATTCAAGATATCTATGCATCATTAGCTGGTGGTACTCGATTCTCCAAGATTGATTTATCGCATGCGTATATGCAGATTGAATTAGATGAGACGTCAAAACAGTACATGGTTATAAATACGCATAAGGGACTGTTCCAGTATAATCGTCTCAATTACGGATCGGCTGTTGCTCCGAGAATTTTCCAGCGAGCGATGGATCAGATGTTAAAAGGTCTCAAAGGAACACAGTGCTATCTCGATGACATTTTGATAACGGGAAAGAATGATAACGAACATTTAGAAAACTAAGAAGCAGTTCTGCAGCGCCTAGAGGAATCCGGAATACGGGTAAATCGTACCAAATGTGTATTCTTCGCCGAATCAGTGGAATATTTGGGCCACATTATCGACAGTGACGGACTGCATAAGAATCCGAAGAGAGTCGAGGCGATATTGAATGCTCCAGCTCCGAAGAACGTCTCCGAGCTGAGATCATTACTAGGCGGCATTAACTATTACGCAAAGTTTGTGCCCAATGTGAGCAGCGTGCTTCACCCGTTAAATGCATTGTTACAGAAAGACATTGAATTCAAATGGACTGTAAACTGTCAGAAGGCTTTAGACAAAGTAAAAGCCGCACTGTCACGAGATGAATGTTTGACGTATTATGATCCGAACAAGCCAGTTGTGTTTGCTTCAGATGCCAGCCCTAAGGGTATCGGAGCAGTTCTCTCACATATAATGGACGATGGTACCGAACGACCCATATGGCATGTATCTCGATCATTGACTAAAGAAGAGCAGAACTATGCCCAGATAGAACGCGAAGCCTTGAGTATCGTATGGGGAATAAAGCGATTCTACCAATTTTTATATGGGCGTTCTTTTGAACTGATGACCGATTGTAAGCCATTGACATATATATTTCACCCCAACAAGGAAATCCCAGCCCTAGCAGCCGCCCGTATCCAGCGATGGGCAATATTCCTAATGGGATTTGATTACAAAATAACATATCGCAATACAAAGGATCATGGTAATGCAGATTGGCTATCCAGATTACCATTACCCAATGAGCAATTACCAAAATGTTCTGCCTCAGTATTCAATATCACTCAATTGGATACCCTCCCTGTTTCTAGTGAGACTATCGCAAAGGAAACAGCACGTGACCCCATATTATCCCAAGTATTAGGATACATTCAACATGGATGGAACACTTATACTAAAGATAATGATAACAGTGAGTTAAATATGTTCTTTCATAAGCGAGATGAACTCACTGTTCAATCTCAGTGCATTATGTGGGGAATTCGTGTAGTAATACCAACTAAACTTCAAAACCGGATTATGGAGGAGCTACATACAGGACATTTAGGCATTGTTAAAATGAAAATGATGGCTAGATCGTACGTATACTGGCCAAATATAGACTGTTGTATTGAGACTGTAGCTAAAACATGTAATGGATGTATACAAGTGGCAAATGCTCCACATAAAGCCCCTTTGCATCCCTGGGAGTGGCCTGAGAAACCCTGGCAACGAGTACACTTTGACTATGCAGGGCCATTTCAAAATTCAATGTTCTTCATCATAGTGGACTCACACTCTAAGTGGCCTGAAGTGATACCTTGCAAAACATCTACTTCTGCACATACCATTCATATGTTACGTAATACATATGCACGCTTTGGTTTGCCTCAACAAAGTGTTTCTGATAATGCAGCATCATTCACTTCAGAAGAATATAATAACTTTGTAAGGGAGAATGGTATTAAACACCGCTACAGTGCTCCAAATAACCCATCTAGTAATGGTCAAGCAGAGAGGGTTGTTCAGACTGTAAAGAAAGCCCTAAAAGCCATGGCAGATGAACCTGGCACATTATCCCAAAAGTTGGCGCGTTTCTTGTTAGCCTATAGAAATGCACCACATGCCACTACAGGTCAATCACCTGCAACTTTGATGTTTGGCAGATCTTTGAGAACCAGATTGGATATTGCGCGCCCTAATCTGAAAGAAAGGGTTGTCAAGGCTCAGAGTGAACAAGTAGCCCAAAAACCCTCAATTCCACGGCTTGGCTTTAATGTGGGTGATAACGTTCTTGCACGTGACTACAGAGGGAAACAGAAATGGCTTCCTGGACGTGTTATTGAAACAGAGGGTCCCCGTAATCATGTTATTGAAGTAGCCCCTGGTATGACATGGAGGCGTCATGCTAATCAACTGCTACATGGAGGGCAATATTCTGATAAACCCAAGCCCACAGAATATGAAGCCCCATGCACCCCTGTGGAAATCCCTACATTAGCATTTCCACCCAGTGTTTCAATGTCAGATATTCCAAGGAACCCAGTATCTACACCAGTGAAATCCCATGATAGTCCAAGGATTTCTACTAAAGCAAAACCAGCTCAATCCCAGAATACCAACATGTCTACACCACGCAAGCTAGATATTTCATCACCCAAACCAGTTGAAAGGAAATATCCTCTACGCATCAGAAAACCTAGAGTTCTAACTGATATTTAACAAAAACTGACTAAACTGTTTTCTGATTTCTAGTGTATGGTGTATTATAGGAAATCAGAATTATCTTGATACATGTTTGCATGTTAACGACATGTATGGACATTATATAAGCTTTGTTTATAATTATAGGAACTCTTGAGAATATTAGCGAAAACTAGTATAGTATAAAGATTTGTTTAACTTTAAATAATCTTTAAGGACTTTAAAGTTACAGAGAGCAAAAGAAAAACACATGTTTAAAATATTGCAAATCATTGGAATGATTCAAAACTTTATTTTCTTAAAGGTTGTATGTATAAGTAAACTTGTTTAAAGTATAACTTTATATTTAGTATGGAGGACTGTAAAGGTTTTATGCTACCTGTTCTAGTTTCACTTTCACTATTGCATGTGGAATGTTGCGCATGCGCCTGTCAATAAAGATGAGTTAACTTCCGCCCAAAAGTATCTCGTTTTGTATTTCTTAACTCCCTGTATTTATCAGTGAAATACATGACAAGGTGTACAATAAATTAAATGAATTTGTGTAATGAATATCTGTGATATCAATAGGTTACTTTATGTCGTGAAAGCGGCGAAACGTTTTTGAAGTTAACATTTTTTTAAGCCTAAAAAATATTTATTTAAAAAGTATAAATCCTTCAAGAGGTTATTGATATGTCTCTAGGATTAAAAAAAACATATAATATATAGTTATTAAGAATAAATTGAATTTTGAAAGATTCCAGGTCATCCAATACGTTCGCGGAAATATGCTCTCATTTCAGAGGTTTTGAATATTTGTTCAGGCTAGGCGATTGGGCGCCGTAACCACGAGGTTGCGAGTTCGAGACGCGGTGTGCTCCGTGCGTTTATTCATTCATAAAATTATCATATAATTCACCCAAAGAATATCTTTATTGTCTTCCCAGAAGTCACGTTTCGATTGTCACCATTATTTTCGACCAGTCAAATAAGAGAAGCTGACATTTTCAGTGCGACAATTAACACTTTGAAATAAACTCACAAATCACTTGAAAAAAGTATTTCAAAAGCAAACGTTCAAGATTGAAAATCTTGTCATAGAAAATATCCATTTCCATTGAAAAGTCTTTATAAAAATTGATAATAGTCCCAAGTGATTTAACTTAAACGGCATATATGTTGTTTGCGTTGTAACCTCCGCATATTTGCGTGCTATCACCAGGGCAGGCCTTGTCACAGCTTGTGGAAGGTCCGTATTTTCCATAATTTGTACCGCAATGACATCCTCCACCATTCTGGAGTCCAGCATAAAGGTATCCTACAAACAAGTTTATAACAAGCTAGAAATAAGTCAATCTAAGAAAGCAACGCGTCATTAAGACAAAAATATGATTCTATCAAAAGAGACACTGTCAAATAAAACCCCTCCCAACGTTCACAGAGCAAAACAGCAATACCATTTGACATTCCGATCATTTTGTGTTTGTATTATCATAACGGAACGTTGAGCTACAAATATAAAAATCAAATGCTCCTGACTTTCTAAATAAGTATCGATACCTTGGTCAAGGTTTCGGCAGGCGTCTATGCAAGCTTGTGGAGTCAAGGCACCCACTGTCGCTGTCAATTTATGTAGATCCCTGTCCCAATAAACGTCTGCAAAACACCCAAGGTAGGCGCCGCCGATACTAGCATCTGGATATTATTTCAAAATCCAATGAATGTTGGCAGTTGGAAGCATTGAATTCTCATTTAAAGTATGCTAATGTTTATGGACTTTTTCTGCAGCTTTATTCGATTTTTTACACTTTTGTATTCAATTACATACATTCGACATTCCATTCTATCAAAACATTTCGAAATTTAGATTCTGACATTGACAGGCTTCGGAAATGAAAAAAAGACGATTCTCGGTTTGGAGAACAGTCTCCTGGGCTAATACTTTTTTTCAAAATATAGAAATATTACCAAAATTAAACTATGAATATTAAAAAGAGGACATTTAAATCTACAAGATGCAAAAATAACAAATTGGTCTGAAGCAGGGATAACGCTCAATTAGACTGATTCAATAAAATACAAGTCTCGATTTGGGGAAAGAAGTTCATCAGTGTACTGCGCTAATATTCGTTTGCGAAAAATCTAGAAATATTACCCAAATTAAAAAATTAGACTATTCAAAAGAGGACATTCAAATCTATATAATATAAAAAAATCAAATTTGTCCAAAGCAGGGATAATGCTCATTTAGATTGATGAACTTCGTTCTCCAAACCGAGAATCGTCCTTTACTTTTTCTATATTGTTCTAGAAATCACATCAGACACTTCTTTTGTTCTTGGCACCGTATGCCCGGAATGAAATGAAACATCTCTCCGACCCTCATTTGAACAAAACGAAATAAACACAACGTGTTAAGGTCTCTCAATATTGTAATTGCACACAGGAAAGTTTGGTTGATTTATAAAAGGTATCTTGTTAATGGAATAAAAGGTTGCATCTAAACTTTTATCTTTTTTTAATTGTTTGAATATTTTTTGTTAAACCAACCAAAATTTCAGTTGTATATCTATAATACTGAGAGGTCTAAGAAAAGGTTGTATATATGCTATTTTGATCCAACAAGGTTCGAAAATACATTTTTCATTCTCAGAATTGGTAGAAAGGAACAAAATACAATTGCATTAAAAAACGAAAAATGTTAACACAAACAGTAATACAAAATATATATTATAAATAATTTTCGCATTTAATTGTGGTCAATCAGTCAAAAGGACATGTTTTTACAGAATGTTTGCAATAATTTGTTTAAAAGAAAAACATTGTTGAATTCAGTACACCATATCGATACCTATCCTTTAAAAGAACTTGTTATATTGTATATATATAAACTTGGATGTCTTTCAATGAGCATAATAACTTCATGAGTTCACAAAGGGTGACGCACGCATACCGTTTAAGCTTGATTCACACCAACGGCACTTTGATGGCGCTTTGATGTATATTCACATATTAGTATTGTTTCGATTAAGCTATTTCTTTATGATTTCAATGATAACATCAATTTTTAGATTTACAAATTTAAAGTCTTAAATGCTACAAGAATGTATCCCTGTTTGGCACAACGGTAACCTCACCTGAACTACAGTATAGAGCATGTCCTGTACTTCCTCGAGACTGTGGTAGTCTCCCAGCTGTATTTAGTAGATAACATTCATTTAACGAATTGTAATGGAAACAGGTACATTGGTTGCTCTTCATCGCGCAATGGATTGCACACATTTGGATACTCTGCGCAAATGTGGCACTGATTAGATCAATTATGATGTTATCATGATAATTGTAGATTTCCCCAATACTAGTTGGAGTTCGCCAAAATATCAAGAGTAAAATCCAACCTGTTTTCATACTTGGTGTCAGGGATGACATTAACGTGATAGTTTTCATCGATATTGTCGTTGTCCCAAGTCGCTTTTAAAGTCGCTTACTCATCCCTACGTAATGAAATCACGTCAATTAACCCTCTATTTCATCTGTTTCGAAAACCAATATGTTGTTTGAATTTGTGATGCAAAATCCCCTGGTATAATCTTCATCCGTATCGCAATGGTAAATTGTATACGTTTTACTAGTAGGGTCTAAACTTGAATGTGCCAGTGCGAATTTCGATCAATACTTAAAAATAAATTGACATGTTTTGATGATAAGCATTTCATTTTACGAGCAATTATCTGAGTGTAATAGTTTCCAATTAATGTTTCGTTAATGTTTGAGAAAGTCCTCGCCCTTAATCATACATTATTTACAGAATGTTCAATCCTATTGATTATACTTAACATCTACAGGGTGGTCCAAAAAAGTGAATCCATCCAACAGGCTATATTTTACTTAATACATGCAGGAATTGGCTAAATGTATCAGATCCTGCGGAAAAAAAGTCCAACATTTTTGTTGATGCCATAATTTATTCTCAGTCTTGAGGCAGGATGGTATTTTTACACCATAATGTTCCTGATTCAAAACCAAACAAAGTCAAAAAACATTAGGTTTTTTAGACTGCGGCTAAAAAAACTCTACATGAAGATTGTTGAAGGGTTGAAGAATCGCAAATGTTGAAGTTCACATTTTATCGATTTTCAGTGGTGGTTGGTTGGGGCTTATAAATCTGCAAATTTCAAGACTACGAAAAATGTATAGTACCAAAAAAAGTTTAGACCTTCTTCTACGACATGTGAAAATATGAAAGGATTCTTGTAGGTAATAAGGGGAATACAGCACGTTGCAACAGTTCACTTTTTGGAACACCCTGTAATAACTGAATAAACCGTAGTTGAAATTAGTTTTGGTTGAATGATTATGCAATATAAAAAAGTGATTGTTCTTCATTATTTTTACCGTTTTAACATCACAGTCAATATAACACTACGAAAATGGGTCGTCTTCGTATGTTAGAGCATAGAGAAAAGTATATTAATCATTAATACACATCTTATTGGGTTGTTTTGGTTTAGATCACAAGCCAATGAGGTGTGTATTAATAATTAATAATTAACTTTTCCGTTTTCTCAAAATCTGCTTGAAACTATACCATTGGATTACTATAGGGAAATTCCTCAAAGAGAAAATTCTTGGGATTAAGGAAGTGGTACCATTTACACAATTTGAGAATTTATTGGCAAACATGAAACCTATTTAAAACAGCATTAATATCATTCAAAGCGACCCTAATAATGACCCCCAGCCCCCTGAGTTTGAAAATTAACAATACCTGGTTTAATCAAAAGAGAATCCTTGAAAATGAGAAATATTTTTGGTATTATATGGTGCAATTTTATAGTAAATAAATGTTTTAAAGTTTTTTAGATGAAAAACACAAGCAAAATGCACGAAAAAGCTCCCCAGATTCATTCTACAAACAACTCGTGGTCCTTTGGAGGTCATTTCTATTTGTATTTGAAGAATCAAATCAACAAATCAATTATTTTTTAATATATATTTTACGTTATCAGCTATATATAATTTCAAGGTTATCGTATTCAAAAATACCAGTAATACGCAATCAGTGTATTTACATTTTGCCTTGATTTTAGCAATTGTGAATTTAAAAGTAACAATCAGGTGATATGCTGTATCGTAAAAAAACATCCTTTGCATTTGTGTTTTACGAAATTACATTAACAGCAGACATAATTTTGATATATGATCGCTTTATTTGGTTCATAAAATGAATACATCATACAAATAAGGTAGCATATTGTACAATAAATCTAGTGAAAACAACACTAGAGGTGTTATACCGAACGATAATCGACTAGAATATCGGATCGAAAGGCTCAGGTATGGTCCCGGATATCTAATACCGATTTTGAGTCGGGTCGGAACATCGTTAGTTATTGTAAGATGCTTTATATTCAATTTCCGTCAAAAAATCACTTCTAACTTTTATATTTCTTGTATACGTATAGATTACGAACGGTTTTTCTCGAACGATTTTAGTGAGCTAAAATTCATTGTTCCGTTTACTTCTGATCCTAAGCGAAATTACTCGTCCCGCACACTTTTTCTGTCCCGAGCCGAACCAAAACTAACCCGTGACACATCTAACAATCTCCTAATTGACCAATGTGACATATAACATTTTATTCAAAATAAACTCACATTTTTGGCACGAAAAGTCCTTCAAATTCATATTTTTTGAATAAAAAAAGCTTGTCATTGAATTATGCAGAGTATTTTTAAAATTGATAATAGTCCCAAATAATTTATTTCAAATTACATATATATTGTTTGCGTCGTAACCTCCGCATATCTGTGTGCTGTCACCAGGGCAGGCCTTGTCACATCTTGTGGAAGGTCCGTGTTTCCCGTAACTTGTACCGCAAAAACAGCCTCCGCCATTTTGGAGTCCAGCATAAAGGTACCCTACAAATTAACAAGTACATGGTAATCTGTAATGTAAGTATGTATGTTTGCATTACGTTTGTGTCTTTATAAATGACAGTTTACATACTATGCAGTATAATCTACAAAAAGGATGCTATGCGGACGGTGCTATACAGAAAAACATCGGTTGGGATACCATGCGCGCATTGAATACCCAACATGGCTTACTTTATTAAACTGTTAAATCCGCACTTTTGTGCCTAAAGCCTCAATTTATTGATCATTCAGTGAAACGTCATGTCTGATCCTGGAATCAAGCTATACAGTAAAACATCGGTTGAGATACCATGCGCGCATTGAATACCCAACATTGCTTGCTTTATTAAACTGTTAAATCCGCACTTTTGTGCGTAAAGCCTCAGTTTATTGATCCTTCGGTGAAACGCCATGTCTGATCCTGGAATCAAGCCCGGGCCAAATAATGACGGTGACCTTGACCCTACAAAGAGCCACTGCATTGATATTTAGTGGAATTATTTAAACAAGCTGCCATTTCGTTATAATGATGCATTGCCCTTTTGTACGCATAAAATTGTTAGTACCTTGTTCAAGATTTCGGCAGGCGTCTATGCAGGACTGGGGAATGACGGTACCCACTGTTGATGTCGATTGGGGTAGATCTCTGTTCCCATACAAGTCTTCAAAACACCCGAGGTATTCACTGATTTGTACGTCTGGAGAGGTAATTTCAAAGGCTACTCAAACTTTGAAGGAATAAATACATGGATTGTGTTAATATACGCCCCCTCCACATGTTTGATTTTTTTTAAATTTCATTTATTTGCCAAACACTTTTAAAACAGGGGCACAATGGAGGAGTCTGGTGCAGCAGAACATTGGATTACATTGAAGACATAAAACTACGACGAAGATAGGTAAGATTATCCATAATGCACCTCATTAAAATTCTCAAATCTGATTGGTTAAGAGCTGCAGGGTCTCCCGTCTATTGCCATACCTGGCAGCAAGATCCAACCATCCAGTATGCCAGAATACCTATCCTCCAAAAAGAAAAAAAGAAATACTAGGCTCGGCTTCTGTTTTAGTAGACCCATTCTTTAAAAGTATTTCTCAAGGGACTTTGTTTCGCCTGGTATTTTTTCCTCGGATAGGTATTCTGGCATATCCACGTCCTCATGGTCATCCAGTATTTGTTTAATATAGATGTATATACATACTTGTATCATGAAAATTATACATGTAAAGACTTGGCCCATATACTAAAAACAATATCGTCTGGTCAGTTTTTTTTCATGAAAGAAATCGTTGGAAACATAAAAACGTTAAAAATACATCTGCTGAACAGTAGATTCAAATGCCGATCAATCATGATGTTATTTTCATGATACACTGTAGTCGTATCATATTCAATCAATATCAAATTCCTTAAAGTATATAATCAAAAAAATAAAAGATTATAAAAAATAAAATGGAATGATATAACATATCAAATAAAAGATAAACCTCTTTAAGGTGATATGAAACTGGGATGCGTTTCTAATATACATGCATTTCTGTATACTAATGCAAGAGTTTGTTTGTTTTAGCCATGACTTCATTATTTCCATCGCAACAACAATGTAAAAATAAAAGTTCAATTGCTAAATGTTACAAGAGTGCATCCCTGTTTGGCATAATTATAACCCTTACCTGAACTACAGTATAGAGCATGTCCTGTACTTCCCTGAGACTGTGTTAGTCTCCCAGCAGTATTTAGTAGATAACATTCATTTAACGAATTGTAATGAAAACAGGTACATTGGCTGCCCTGCATCGAACAGTGGATTGCACACATTTCTACAGTCGACGCAAATGTGTAACCGATGAGATCTATTGTGATCTGTCCACGGTAAGTATAAATTTCACCAATACTACTCGCCGTTCGCGCAAAAATGAGAAGTAATATCCAAACCATGTTAAACAGTGATTGTGTAACAATTATAGTTTTCTTTGATATTGTAGTTGTTCAAAAAATCGAAGTCGCTTACACACCCCTATAATTATGAAATCACAAATACAATGTGGACCAACTTGAAATGAAAACAGTTTAACTTCGTTTCAACATGGCCGTATTTCCGGTATTTTTTTAATCATAAAATTCATCATTTCCACATTTACGAATTAGTTCCATCGCTTCGGAACGGATTACAATTTTCCATTATGTAGAAATGATACGAGGACATATCTATCTTGCAACGAAGATATTCATTTCAACTGTATATACAGGGTGTTACATATATATGTACCCCCTCTAAACGTATACATGCAGGATTGCCCCCCTATCAGGTTATATGTCATTTAGTTCGTTATGAAAAGTTACATAATATCGAAAAGTTTCAAAATCAAGGTATGTCCCTGAAAAAGAGACAATGTATCAACGTTTTCGGGTACGGGGTAATTTATAAGCATTTTTGTAAGCATTATTGGACCCAGTCCGACGATCTGTTTACTTTCTCTGTTTCCCATCTTTAGTGATAAAGGTGGTACCATGGTCCCCGGTGTCCCTATAAGCCACTGCACGAATTCTGTATCCTTGTGAATAACTGTCACAGACATGTGGACTGAACTCTTCCATGATGACAACTGCTAGAAATATGCAATACGGAAACTAATTGTTTCCTTTAGATTGCCCATAAAATGACCAGAAATTCCCCCTGAAAAAAGTAATCACTTCGTGTTTCTGAGAAATTGTCTTTGTTACCTTAGCGAGGGAATTGGATTGTAAATATCAAGAGAATTGCAGTTTGTACTTTTGAGGTGAAATCGCATTTTGATACTAGAATCCACAACATAAATTCGTGATAAGTATTTAGCAAGAAATTGTAAGATAAATGGCGGTTAAATCAAGAACACGAGATATCTTACCAAATTACACTTCCGGAAGTCCTGACATGTTGGAACGAAAGTAAATGTCTTCATTTAGTTGATCCCAAGTAGATAACTGCAATCAATCAAATGTATCGAAAAGCAATATCCTTCCGGTTTTCTAAGGCATACAAATATCTTGCAAAAGCAAAAGTCCAGGCATACGTGTTATTGTGACTCATCGGGCCTAAACAAGAACATGTCAGTTGGGAATGTTCTACACGAGCATTAATTTGGGCATACCAGTCTTCAATCGCACATGATGAATGGTTACACTTGATGCTAATGATGTTTGAGCCCCATTGACTGTGATTCAGATGTTGTGGTTGAGGCAACCATTGTTGACATTGATATTTATTGAATGATAATGCCCTATTAAAAAGTGATTACTCTTCATCCTGTTGATTTCATCATCAAAGATGTCAGTATTACTTATGTCAAAATTCATGAGTATGATAATTATGTTTTGAAAATGTTTTTCATTTACGATCTAAATAATATAAAATCAATAACAAAAGCAGATAACAAAATTTAGCTTTATAAAACTAACGGGTAGATGGGTCACATGAGCCCCTGAAGTTGAATGGGTATAAAAACTAAGGTACCCTATTATAGGTCATTCAAACTCTTGAGCGAGGTAATTAAAACCTCAAAAAGTAGGTCAAAGTATCGTATGTGTGAAATTTTGTAATATGGCTTTTTGAAGATCACCATAACACAAGTCTCTATTTAAAAAAAGGTAAAAACTAGAACAGTGTGTATTTAGATATGAAAATATCCAGGTTTGATTTCAAGCAATTTTTGAAATAAAAGAAAATCCGGAGGGGTCCCCCTGCCCGCAAGTATAAAAGGCGACATTAACGATTGATTTAAGCCTGGAGTTCGATTGATTATTTGTCAATACAAAATTCGATTTCATTTTTTACAAACTGTTTCTTGACAAAAAAAAGTTAATCACATATTTAGGTGCTGTTGTATGGAATCATTTTTTATTATGATTGAATATGTGGTTGCTAATGCCAAGTGTTAATACATTACGCCCACTTACTCAGTTTGCCATTCCAAATGCATCGTATTTTTCAATATATCATATTATTGTATATATAACAATAACTCACAAAACCGTTAAAGAATATGTATCGATTTTCTCTATTGGAAATATTTGTTCAAAGTCAATGTTGATTGATTATATAAGGGAAATAATTGTTTTTTCTAAATTAAAAGGAAAGACAAGAACAAACGATTTAATCAATGCCAAGTACAATGACCCGGAGATTGTGTATGAAGTTTTATTAAGGACAAAAAAGAACAAAAAGTCAGTAAACAAATGAGTGAAATGAAATTGTACATAGAAGCATGTAGTTAGATATAGGTTGGAATAAGAATATAAACAGAAGATATAACCATGTTATATTTTAATCATTCGTAGAATATTGTATTTGATATATATGGTGATCTTGACAGACCTATCTGTAAATTGTGACACGAGCAACACAGCGTCAATCCGGATAAAAAGATTTCTTTAAACTTTTGGTTATGCTACTACAATCAATGTGATAAAATGAATATAATGAAAACGTGTTGGGTGGTAATTGACAATTTATGTGAACACGGAAACAATCTCCAATCAACCAAATATTCTCTTACCCATTAACGTGTTTACAAAGGATGATGAAAGATAGAATCAAATTGTACATCGCACATGAAAATAAACCCCAACTATTCTAAACCATAATCCACCATGAAAAGACACAATGTATACCCCCACCATTCAGGTTATATTATCACAACCCAATATCATAACACCAATGGACATTTCATTCATACAGAATACAATATAATCATTTTGAAGATTCAATATAAATTAATAAGCCAATACTCTTAACTTTGAAAATAGTTGTAGATATAATTACGCATGCAAAATAAGGCACCCATGTGTAAATGGTGTGGGACAGACAATATTCAGTTTCACGTTTTTCTGCTTTTTGCAATTCTTTGGGATATATCAATTGTTATATTGTTATTTTGAGATCGTATACCTTACTCTATGAATATGATGAAACGAAAAACACCTCCTTGATTTAGAAAAAGACCTGACCTTAACATTGGTAATTGATTACATTGTCAATAGAGACGTAAAGGCATGCGTTTTCATAGGACTTTATGTTTACCGACAAATCAATACTTAAATGTTCACGCTTGTCACCAATTTGGGAGATTATGATACACGTTTGTTTTAAAGCTGTGGCGTGAACGTGTAGAATTATATCCCCCTGTTCACTGTACTGTTACCCTTTGCATTCGTTTGACTTCACTTCTTAAAAGAGAGCTTCGTCTTCACTCTTTCAAACTAAAATAAACCTTTTAACTCACCGCGCCAATCAGTGTTCGTCGGCCAAATTTGACCGACGTTCTATATATGGTCATTCCTTCTGACGTCATCGTTGAGCCCGTAATTGACCAATGGCATGCGCATGTTTAATTAGAACGCATTTGGCGTATGTTTGCTCAAGCTCGATGATTGGTGGAAGAAAGGTCAGTGCGTAGGTCAAAAGTGATTTATTACCCAAACTGTCACCGGTACCCGTCGTGGGGACGGGGCTACTAAACTGTAATTTGGTCTCTGCTCGGCAGAATGTAGTTTAACTAGACTCTGCACGCAGGGTATTGTACTGTTTACTTGGCCGATTAAAAACTCCAAATATTTTTTCTTATTTTTTTCACTTTTTTCAAAGCGGGAAGATTCCCCCTGGAGCGGTAGATATGGCGGAAGATAAGGAGATTCTGGATATGGAAACCTCAAAATCAGGATACAGAATATATCTTACCAACCTATCTCCCTAAAAATCTACTTGGCATAGGATGGCACATTTAGTTTGATTGGTGGATGGCGCTTCTAAAAGTTCTGTATTAATCCTTATTTCAAACACCATTATACATTTAACTCGTGATTCTATTGGTTTTTGTCTGTTAGACTGCCTATTTTGTTAAAATTCACTTATTATCTATGTGTATCCATCGCAGTGTCTGTTTCTCCACGAAACACGTCTATAAAACAACTTCAAACAAGCACTTGGTGAAATCGATAAAATAATATATAAAAATATGTTTTATTTTCGGATGAAAAAGGATGCGTTATTACTAATAAGATAGTATTTCGATTCTGTATTGTAATTATTATATTATTTTATGAAGGAAAAAATATAATCAGCGTAATATTAAGACAGATACATACTGGTGTATGTTATTCAACGATATAAGTTTTATATTTAATTTATGTTGTTGATTCAGTTATCATATATGATAACTTATCAATTTTTGTTCGTTCAATGAATGCAATTGAGAGACTACTTCCATGAAGAGTTTTCACCGGGGTCAGTGGATATGGTATAGTCATCTGTACAGGCGTTTTCACCGGGTTCAGTCGATATGGTATAGTCACCTGCGCTATATGACATATATTTGTGTCATTTTGACCACATTCATCACATTTTCAATTACCATAAAACACCGATTCACACACTTTAAAGGCAGGTAAATAATTGTACTAAACGAAACAAATTATAGTTAAAATTGACAGCATCTTGAGTTTTATGTAATTATAAGAAATTATAACTGTCCTTAGTCCAAAATTAAGTGTGAATTTAGATGACATAAACGTTATTTGCCCATCCGCCTCCACATATCTGTGTGCTGTCACCCGCACAGGGACTTGTGCACCCAGTGGAAGGTCCATATCTACCATAACTTGTTCCGCAAAAACATTGTCCTCCAGCCTGGACACTAGCATAGATGAAACCTAAAATATAATTCAAAATTTTAGTCTGTATGTCATAATACAGGGTGACGAAAACATTGGGATTCTCACATATATATTATATATAAAAGAGCAGATATTAACCAACTGTCATACATATTAGGAAAAATAACGTTTGGACATATTCAAATATTGACTCAATAATAATTTTGCTAACTAAACATCCTAAACATAACACTTGCTATAATCCAACTTAAACGTTTTTTGAGTATTGGGTGAGATAAAAATGTTTGTGCATCTCAGCCATTAAAACTTGGATCTGGGCGTGTGTCGAAAATAAGGATA